CATTGATCGGTAACTATATGTACCGTGCTTTCCGACACATCTCCTGGGGTCGCATTCCCGTATATGACGCAAGAGGGAATGGGTGGATAGGACTTGTCGTCGAAGCAATGGCTGACGGAACTTGGGCGGACCAAGTCCTCACGCATTATGCGTGCGGCACTTGCAATGCTCGTGCCGTGTCCGGCGGTGTAGATGTATGTTTCCCCTGGTGGGTCAGTGGCAAGAGTGCCGAATGCTCTGCGAGTCTCACCAGCCCACGGGATGAATAACATAGTATGCACGCCGTCCGATATTGGCGTCAGCGTTGCTCCCAATTCGTTGCACGATGAGCGCGTGCCCGACTGTAATACGGCATGCGCGAATTCGGCTAAAGTCTCCTGCCTGAAATCGCTGTCAGCAGCTATCTCGCCCAAAGTTTTGGCGAGTTTGTGCGCTTCCTCCATGTCGACAGCGTGGGGTGTCGGCTTTTCATGATCATAAAGCTCAGAAAAAGGCGCCACGTCAATCTGTGGTGGTCTGCTCTGTTTGCCCAGTTGTTCGAGGGTTGGCTGACCCGATGGGGCAGCAGTTGTGGATGCATCAAAAGTCGGAGCAGGTGTCCGAACAGAGCTGGGGGGATTGTGCCGAAGCTGTTGGCGCGAGGATGTGCCCTGGCTTGTTGGGGGCTGCTGTTGTGCTGCTTGGCTGCCCTTGATGCGAAGGGCGATGCGCTGAACCTGCGCAGCCAATGTTTTTTGTGGGACCTTGGGTGGGGTAGGTGGCCTTTGACGTGGCTGTGTGGCTCTGTAATGCCACTTGTTGGCATCATCATCACGCACTGTAGAATAGCTGCGGAGCACAACCGAGGTCTGAGGAGGTGTCGATGAAGGTCGCCTGGTGTCCCTGCGAGAACGGCTTCTGCGAGTGTCGCGGGATCGGTGGTGTCTGCGTCGGCGGTGCTGTCTGCCGCTGCTTGCAGGTCGTGCTCGGCTGCGTGTGTGTCGTCGACGTCTAGTGCTCACGGTGCGAGTTCTGCTGCGTGTGGCTGAGCGCCGTCGTCTGCGTGGCAGCGGAGGGTGATGGGGAGAAGTACGTGCTGCGAGCTGGTCAGTGTCTGCCGATCCCGTATCTGGGGGTGGTTGTGCGGGTGGCACTGTATTGACGGAAGGGGGGTTGGCTGTGTTTGTTGGTTGTTGTTGGGGCGTCATTGCCGGTGTCTGCGGGGCAGTGTGTGCAGCATCGGCAGTGGGAACACTGGTGGGGTGTGGTTGTGGAGCTTGTTGGATTGTTGTTGGCGGCGGTATGTGGGATTGTTGAATGGGTTGTGTGGGAGGGATGTTGCAAGGTGCAAGTTGGGGTTGTGGGGCGGGTGGTGTAAAAGGAAGGTTGAATGTGGTAGGTTGGGCCTGATGCTGTGCCAAAGCAGATGGGCTCATGGGAAAAGCTGTTGGATGGGTAGGTAAAAGAGCAGGGTTCATGAACGGGGTGGGGTGTTGTGACATGAATTGCTGGGGTGGAGGTTGTTGTGGCATCTGGGGTTGTGGTGTGCTGAGATGTGTGTAGACCGTCGGATGCTGTGGAATAGGAGCAGTGTGTCCACACGGCATCATGGGGAAGCCGTGCGTTTGCTCAACAGGAATCGAAGTGGGTTGTGTCGGCAGTGTGGGCTGCTGAGTGGCAGCAATGCCGGTTGGCATCATTGCTGGGTAGCTTTGTGACTGCGGTACCCAGGTGTTCTGGTGTAATTGATTAAGCACCGGTCGGGCTGTTGGTGCATATGGGGTTGCTGGTGGCTGCGCGGCAAAATAATCCGGCCACATAGCTACAACGAAGTGGGTGAAACAAACACAGTTGCACAAGCAAAGTGCAGGCTGTCCTGATTGTCCCTGCTGGACTGATTTGAGAGGTCGTAGACGGAGAGAAGGAAGAGGGCCGAGTACGCTCCGAAGAGAGCGCTGCTTCACTTGCTGTAGACATCTTTACCACGTCTGCACTCATGTCAGATGCACATGCCCTTGCAGTCCCTGAGGAATAAAGAAGCGGTAAAATACGGGGCAGACTAGAGAGGTAGCACCTGCTCACTAGACGCACTTTACTGCATTAGCCGTCCCTTACTGCATCTGCACTCATGTCAGACTCACATGCGAGCATCAGAGAGAGAGAGATAAAGTAGCATCGGGAGATTCTGAACGATCTGAACGAAGGCTGAACACCCGGTTCATCACCGGTCTCCCCGGAGGGTCACCACGGCGCCATGACGGAAAGCCGTTGCTCTGGAGTCTCATCGACCCACGCTGATCACACTGATGGATTCGGCCAAGAGTACGAGGGCAAGAGGAAAAAGAGAGGCATGTTGTTCATGTGCAGAAGCTGTCAGATTTGTGGCCAAACCGTACAAACTTTTTGTGGTCCGAATAAACGCCGAAACAATGGGCAACTGAAACTCTCTCATCTTGGCACAGGGGCCTTCTAATCGGGCTGGCACAGGGGCCCCAGCTCAATTTTGTGCAGGTACACAGGACTGATCAGGTCCCGCTTCCCACTTGCATCCACAGCTTCGTTGAGTGTGGTAGGACGCAAGTGCCACACTCCCCTGCAACAGTTGATTTGGTAAATGTCCAATGTCTGATTAAGTTGAAAAGCAAAAATTGCAAACAGTGTAGGAGTGACCCTCTGCTCCCATGTGCTAGGGAGGTTCACACACACACACACACACACACACACCACACACACACACACACACACACACACACACACACACACACACACACACACACACACACACACACACACACCCCACACACACCCCACACACACCCCACACACACCCCACACACACCCCACACACACCCCACACACACCCCACACACACCCCACACACAACCACACACACACACACACACACACACACACCCAACCACCCCACCACCACACCCACACACAACACACACTATAACCACAACACACACACACACAACCACACACACCCACACACACCGCACACCACACACACACACACACAACCACCCACACACACAACAAAACACTACACACACACACACACACACACCACACACACACACAACCCCACACACCACACCACACACACCACACACACACCACCACACACCACACACACCACACACACCACACACACACCACACACACCACACACACCACACACACCACACACACCACACACACCACACACACCACACACACCACACACACCACACACACCACACACACCACAAACCGAAGCCTTGACCACGAAGCCGCTGTTTTTGAAGCACACATCTGTGTGAGATCACATGCGCGAAGTGCAATAAAATCATCGCAATCGGTACCGAATCACCCGAACCGGACACGTGAGAAATTCGTCCCTGCTTGTGCAACGTATCGTCTGCTTTGCTCGTGATCTTCGACAGATTCAATCAGATTCAGGCGTGAGGGATGACCCCCTTGAAGCCTTGGCAGCCTTGGCCTTGGTCGCTTTTTCCGGTACTGGTTCGAGTTCTGCAAGCTTGGTGGCCGACTTGCAGCTGCTCCATTACACCGGCGCGCAGACCAAGAGACCGCTGAACAACGTAATGATCTAAAGAATTCCAAGAGTGCCCCCCAGTAAAGGCACCAACTTTTCCACCGGAATCACCAAAAATGAGACAAAGGGCTGATCAATCGCGACGAGTGTTTAGTTGAATTTTACGAATCCGTGCTGGAGCCCATTGTTTGCGATCATGAGCATGTGTGGCAGCACACCACGATGAAGGCATGCTTGCAAAGAACACTCTGATGCTATTGGCCTCTCACCGTATCACTGTTGGGCAACTTGCCAGATCGATCAAGGCGCTTAGCGACACTTGTCACTCACCGCAATTGTGTTTTGTTTCACCGCGCTTTCTCATCCATTCCCTTTATTCCCATACTATGTCTGGCATTTCTGGCATAATCTCTCTTGAGGTTCGAGCATTCAGCAAGCTTGTCGGCAGGTCTTTAGAATAGATCCTCCCGAAGAAGGGCACGTTCGAAGAGATGCCAGAGACTTGGAGTTGGGTTCGACACAAGCAACAGAATACACCAACTTATGTTCGTCCTGCTCGAAGCTACTTCTGCTTCGCGAGAGTGCCGCTGCAGACGTTTCGCGGCAGAGTTTTCCACAAACCTGCCCTGATTGATGGAGGATGTTTGGCGACAAGTTGCACCGTGGATTCGAGCTCGACGAAAATGGTTCCTTGGGATCCCTTTGACGAATCCTTACCCCCCGGGCCCTGTGTATAAGTTGCTGTTGGTTAGCTATGAGACAACAATTTATTCCCGGGCAAGCTGCGTGTGCGTGCAGTTGGAGGGGGCGCAGGTCTCTCCGACAGAAATGATTAATTGACGCTGGGGGCGAGAAGCGAGTTAAGAGCACCTGGTTCCATCCTGTTCGGGTTGAGCCTGTCATCAAGCCATGCACGGGAGAAGCCGTTGTCTGAGTTGGCATGCGGAGCATACTTGGCACCTCAAGCCCGTGCAGTGGCAGTCATCAGGCAGCGCGCTGGAGACGGAGCATCATGAGACTTTGTAAGGACTGGCGGACTCGAGCTCGTCAAGGCTACTCTGAGGATCAAACGGGAGCAATGCAGCTGACATGTCCAGGATTCAATATCCACTGCCCCGGGTAAGGATGCTAGAGCCTGGATACTGCCAGATTGTTGTGGAATGTGGACACATCAGGACATCGCCATCTGCTGTCAAGGCAGGTGAGCCAGGGCAGCATGAGCACAACATGCCATGACACAAGCTGGACGAAGGAAGCCTGCCATCAGGTAATTTCAGCAGGGGCCATTTGCATCAGGGTGGTTCTTCGTCTCATCTCGCCAGCTTGCTTGGTTCTAGCTATCAGGCTCGGGAAAAGCATTAATTGCGCCCCGTCCTCCGGCCCAGCCTGGAGAGATGCTGACGAGGCTTTTTCGTTTGATACATGGAGTCGACTGGCTGGCAAGGTCCCCAAAGACGTCTCTGCCGCATTGAGACCAGGCATGAACAGCTCCGTGTCTGCACAAGAGGAACCTCGATCTGCTAGCCTCTAGACGTTTGCCATTGGGCCGTTTGCCTAAGATGTTACGATCACCATCGAAGATGAGCATCCCTCGAGTTTCGCTGTGGCCCTGGCGCCCCCGCCACGCTTGTAAGTCTATGCTTCCGTCCTGCGTGGAATGGTTTGACCTGAGGTGCACACCCAGCCGAAAACCGCGGCACTGATTGCGGATGAGACGCCGGCATGCGAGGAGGAGACTGACTATAGCAAGAGTCAACGGGTCGAGACGCATTCTCGATTTTTGTCAGGGCTGTTTTTGCTTTAAATTTGTTGCTCTCATTGGTGACACTTCCTGATGTCATTCCTGTCCATTTTCTAGCGTTGCCTCGCTATCATTCTTCTTGCGGCATGGAATCGTGTCATTGTGCTAAGGCTAAAGCCCAAAAAGCGCCTCCACAAAACGGAACAACAAAATGCTTAAGCACCTTTCTGTCAACAGTCAGATTTGTTGTGGAAAGGCCGTAATTTTAAACACTCTAGCATACCAGAGAACGCAGGCCGCAGGACACAACATACAGAGCATACAGGGCGCAAGACGCAGACTACAGGACACCGGACACTGCGTACCGAACCCAGAAGCCAACATGGGATGTTACATTTTCGTGCCCGACATGCCTTTGTTGTATTTTGTTTTTACCAAGTTCTTTGGCAAGTTCTTTGGGAGCAAAAGTGGATCAGCCTTGACTCGATGTGTCTCGGTTGAGTGATCTTCATGTACCAGGACTCAGACTGAATGGAGCTTCCTTTTAATTGTTCCAAACATCTTCGAACGATTGACTTGGCGGTTGGAAGTTGCTGTTCGGTTTGGAGATGTGACGGGCTCACTGTTGCACGAAAAACCCTGAGTACACTTGTTCGCGCAAAAGTTTAACCCTCAGTCGGATTACAGTTTGGGTTTAATGTGAACTTGGTATGGAAGTTGGAGTTAACCTTCAGCTTGTAATGTTTCGTGTCGAGATTCCTTCATCTATCAAGATTATTCTAGGTTGGAGTTGACATTCATTGGAAGCAACTTAGTGGCGGCGCTCTGCCGCTGCGCGCGTATTGTCACTGTTGGACGGTCAACTATTTCGCAGCAGAGCTTCTTGACGAAGGCAACTACTTCGCATCAGGTTTGTCATCGTATTCGTATCTCTTCTTTGCGATCAGCTTTTTCGTGACAGGCCTTTGTACCTGCATGGGTATCCCGCAGTTGGGGGTCAGCTTTTTACCTTTGGAGTCAACGTCTTCGCGGCAGCTCTTTGTCATCGAAAAGTTTGATTCATGCATCGTTCGTTTTCGACTGCTGCTCGCTGTTGTCATGCTGCGGTGCTCTTCTGGCTGCAGAATTCTGAGCGCCGACTGTGGCCATGTACAGCAAGTTCCTTGCCGCAAATTCGGGTCTCGGCAGCTTGCGCGACCGCGCGCTGAGAATGTGGCGGCACTCATCCCCCTGAAGGAATGGCCCTCACCCGCTGCTGCAGTTATCGGGTTTGAGGGGGCTGGGCATGAAACGGTGTCGTGTAATGGATTTCACCCTCCCGTTTGCACGTATCGAAAATTGTCGTCAACAGATGAACAGATCGGGTTCACGGCCGTTCAGAGCCCAAGGCTAGACTACTTTAGGGTTTAGGGTTTAGGTGATACGTGGTTGCGTGTTCGGGGCGGCCGATCCGGTTTGCATCACGGAGTGATCCGTTCGAACTGAAAGTTGTCGCAAGGTCTGCAGAACGCTTCTTCGAGATCAATTCAACTCCCTTTCCAAAATCAATCGCGACTGTTGTTGCAAGGAGGATGCTTTGCGAAGGGTTCGGATGCTGTTGAAAGACACTTGGCCTCGTGCTCGGCAAAGCTGTCTGCAGCAGGGCATGAGATGCACGGCTCTAACCTCCAAGGGGCATCACGATGGAGGAGTTCGATCTTGGGCCGAAGCCCGAACCTCCTCCGGAGGAAGAACCAGAAGCGCCTCCGCAGCCCGATGCTCCAAAGCTGGACGAGGAGGATGAGGAGGCACAGCCCGGAGGGAGAAAGGACTGGGCATTTTGGAGGTTTGAGCCTGGAGCCGTCCGCTGAGGTCACCTGCGTGCTCTCCAACAAGCTGAGGCTTCGCTGTCCGCTTTCCTTCGAGAGAGCCCGGAGCCAAAGACGCAGAGCTGTGCTTCCCCTCTTGCTGTCGCTCTTGCTCGCTGCTCTTAGGTGGACATCCCTGTGAGGGGGGAGACCTGCATGTCAGCCCGGCACCGTGGTTACGCTCCCGAGAGCTCGCTTGAAACGAGTTTGGTTACTGTCGCTGAGGACGCTGCCTGCTCCTATCCTACGGCTCAAGCTCTACACATTACCGAACCGGAACGAGTTGTGCCGAACGAGTTATGCCAGTACGCAGAGACTCTGCTCCAGCCAACTCCAGACTTTAAACAAGTGGTCCTCTCAAGAGATTGGCACAGCTCTCAGTGGAACTTCTAAGCGGCTAGCAGCATGGCGCTACGGAGCTTCTCGCTTCACTTTGGCCATCACATGTCTATGTTTTTAATGCTTTGGACGACAGGCTTCGGAGTGTTCGTGCATTTTCTTGTGTGCCTTTTCAAGCCACGGATGACATACTGAGGATGCGCTGGCATCGGTCTATGGCTGGTGGCGGCTGGAGGCGTGGAAGAGGAGTGCTTCTCCAGCGAGTGCTCCAATGGGCAAGTCCACGCAACTTGCCATGGATCTCATCCTGGGGTAGAGCTGTCGTCCAAAAAGGAACGCAGCACTACCAAGGATTCCAACTTCCTCCAAATGCAGCTGTCACTGGACTCCCCGTTGGAAAACGAAGTACCTGTGCTTCGATTACGCGCTGTGCAGTCTGTTGATGGAGTCGAAGTGGTGACTCCTGAGGAGACTGGCATTATCGATACCATCAAGTCCAAATTAAATCCGCTTGCAAACATCATCGAGAAAATCAAGGCAAAAGCATCCGAGAAGGTCAGCAGCAACGCTCAGACTGGCGACGGGAATTCCACCTCGGAAGAGCACCTGGTAGTGGACAGACGCGTCTTGGAAGGAAAGCAATAGCACAATGCACATGGCTGCTGTCAGATTTCAGCTGCGAGGTAACTTCTCACAGCTTCGCCATGACCTCAACCAAAGCCAGCAAGAACTGGCAGATGCACAGGTCAGGCTATATGTGTGTGGCTTAAGTGGCTTGTCATCATTTTTTGCTGTGACAGGTTCTTGCAACGGATTTCGAGAAAGCCCTATTCAGGGTGGAAGCTGCCAAGCACCAGGCGCCGCTGAATGTCAAGCCTTATTCGTGCTTGATCCTCCGTCGCGAGCACGCCACGGCCCAGGTGTTGTCGGCCAAGGTGCAGTCCCGGATGATGCGACACGTCATTGTACCTGCAATGCCTAGTAAGATGCAGGCTCCTGTTTTGCCAAGCTCCCTGAACAGGACAGTAAAGAAGCTGACTTGGAGTGGATCCATAAGCTGCTGGGAGTAACGCTGGCAGCTTGGGTTAGTTGTGCAGCTGCTTGTTCTCACGTCGTCTTGTTTCATTCTTGTTGGCTAAGGATCAAGTCTGAGATGCTCCTTGATAAGAACCTTCCCCTTGAAGAGGCTCCCGTCTCCCAAATCTCCAGGGCTGTGAGATCCTCGCAGAGTTCTCATGCAGGCCATGCGCCTGAGCGATCCTTTAGCAGAACATGCGCCGGAGCCTAACTTTCATCTTGTCGTGGCTCTTCTCGAATTCCAAGACTGTCGCTAGGAAAGTCGGCGCAAAGACAGCTTTGGAGGTTGCAAAGCTAACAGAGGCGCAGCCCGGGACAGCTGCGCGGCCTGCCCCCTGTGCTCTGTTCCATGTCAGGCTGTCCGCAAGTTGGATCAGGAGATCATCCAACACAAAGCAGAGTACGAGAAGGCAACGTTCGGCAAGCATCATTCAAGCCGAAGGGAAGTGTTTCATGATGATGCTTTCTGCTTTGCACCCGTGTCGTAGCAGCACGGCTTCCATCGCACGTTGCCAAATGCGAGATGCCTTCACCGCTTGAGCCCTTCTTTCCATGTGCAATGCGGTCATGGCCTTTTCCGCCTCTGCGGCCAAAGTTTCTTGCATTTTGCTCGAAGACGACTCTGATAGTCACCTCGCCGCATCCAGCGGTATCCACTCCGCTCGCCTCGGTAGTTCATGACGATGCAAATGGACATCGGACACACGAAGCAATGCCATGCAATGCCGCAAGCCAGGGCCGGGCCCAACCTCTGAGCAGGGGTAGACCCACCTGCCGGGAGCAATTCCCCGTGAAGACGATGTTGTCGGAACCTTCGCGCCCTCCTGCCCGGCCTGCCAGTCTGCCCCCGCTCATCGGAGCGAGCAAAGCCCCTGGCTCCAGGGCCACGTCACTTCAAGATCGTCCTCTTCCCTCCGCTTCGGCTTTCCTTTGAAGGGAGCTTCCTGTGCACCCGACCCCCTCCGACGATCAGTGTGGAGCATGTACAGCTCCAACCCGCATCCAGAAGACTCAGCGCGGCCGCAAGCCAGTGTGGCGGCTGACAGCGAAACTTGTGCTCGTGCGAGAGCCTGACAGGTGCTTTAATCGGCTGCGAGAAAGCTGTCTGCCCAGCTCTCGACCCTTGGCGGTTGCAATTCTGGCTACACGCAAGTTAGCAAAGAGCATCATGGCCAAGTTTGTGAGCCAGTGATCGCGTGTGTCTGTGAACGGTTGGCGAGCGACATAAAGCAAGATGTTGGATCTCGCCTCAGTGGTCTTGCCGGACAAAGACCCGTTGGGGTCGGGGCAGTGAGCAAACCGAGCAGTAAAACCATGCAAGGAAAGGACTTTGCAGCAATCGTCGCTGCGATCTAACGGCGGATGTGCAGCGAGATTTGGTCAAACGCCCGAGCACGTTAATGGGCCTTCTCACCGCCAGCGCCGCGGTACGGTGTTTGCTAAGGCCGATGAGTTCAGAATATGAATATGAGGATTCTGCTTCTTCGCCATCTGATTCTTCACAAAGTAGCAGCAGAGCGGTGAAGGCTTGGTCCTTTGTCGTGCCACTTTGTCAGTTGTCCTGTTTTCGTTTGTTCGCTAGTTTATGCTTGAACCGCCTTCGGCACCATAATATTTCAATCCACTCGAAAGCCGCAGCAGCGTCCCGACAACGGTGTAAAATGCACCCGCTTGCCGTGTTCTCCTTGTTTGACTGGTGTTCTTCCCTGTTTATGCTCGTCCACACGTTTGTGGCGACCACGTGTGTGGGTTTCGAAGCCGAAACATGTCCTTGCATTTCATGTCATTTGGCGTTCATATTGCTAAACGGGCAATGCCATCTGTTAGGGTTAGTCCGCAGGGTGTGCAGTTTCTTCGACACGTGTCCATCGTATGGCATGACCACCCGGAATCAGCCGCGAGTGTTCTGCAATCTTGGCAGGCATTGAAAGATCAAACCGGGAATGTTACCAAGTGCCTTGGATTACATGGTTGGCAAGTCATCCTTAATGGCCGATGAGTTCGTGTTCGTATGTGGCCGGCGAGGATCCAAGAGTTGCTTCGGAGTTCAATCTTGAGAGACTCTTGGCGTCAGCAAATATTCTTTTGGAGCTATTCTGGTACTTGTCTAGAGTTGCTGGGATGTTTGTTCTCCACAAGGAAATGGCCGATGCCAGGCTGGTTCAGGTCCTGGATGCATCGGCTGCTCTTCAATAAAGTGCGATAATGACAAAATAATGTATTCCCTGCGCATATCACGCAAGTGAGCCATAGAAATGTGCTGCGTGCTCACTGGTGTCGCCTCGACAAGGATCGCATTGGCGGAACGGTGACTTTCACAACTACCACGGTCACAACTACCGTGGCGACTGAGGGGCCAAGCAAAATCATCGTTGTCGTTCCTTCAGGCAACATAACTCGGTCCGAAAACGAGACGTCAAAGACATCCATGACTACGACATCAACAACATCCATCCAGGCCACCTCGACGAAAGTATCTGTGTCAACATCGACTGAGATTCATCCCGCCATGAATGTGTCTTCAAACAGCAGCGCCGCTGAAGACAAAGTTGGACTTTACCCAAGCGATTGGGCAGTGATTGAGGCTTGCATGCATGAAGCATCCAGATTTTATCTAATTGGACCTGCTCTGTCCGGTCTAGAGTTCTTTTCACACCCTGGTCATACTACTGTGGTACATGTGAAAGAAGAAGACTGGCAGCACCAAGGGATCTCTGATCCTGTTGGGTGTGCTGGTTGCTCTCATCACCATCTACAGTCGCGGCTTGGTAGATCTTGGTCACGGGCATACGCAGAGTTTTTTGTTGCTTGGGTTGGGCACACAAAGGCACCGTGGGAGCTTGACCGGCTCACGGAGCCCCCAGAGTGATGCATTTCACGGGTAGTAGCGCCCCGTGATGCTAGACTCTCCGTGTGCGCTGAAAGAGATGAAGTCGTGGGGTGATGCAGCAATGGAGTGCTGGTTTGGCAGGAATGATAGCATGCCTTCGCAGAGTTTTCCACAGACACTCACCTGGCTCTGGGCCGACACACGTCAGCCAGGCATTTGCAATGCTTCGGCTTGGGTGCATACCTGGAATCGAACATGAAGATGAGGGCTTTGAACAACAGGCCGGCCTCAAGTTTTGGAAGACTCTGGAGTGCAGAGCATTCTCGATGCAGGTGGACCTGCCCTGTCTGCAGCAACATTCTAAAGCCGCACGACCTTGTAGTCGGATGCTCAAAGCGTCAGTCATTATTTTTACACTGCACTCGCACCCTTGGTTCCTGCGATTTCAGCTGCTTGACGAGTGTAGAGGAGATGCGAAAGATACGTGCATGTACTGCAACCTCAAGCATTTGATTGTTCTTGTTCCAAGCATGCCAGCTACTAAATACCGTAGTATAGAGACATGCCGCTGCAGGGTTTGTCAGGAGTACCGCCAAGCAGGGCTGTGCGCCATGGGTGCAAGTGCCAGTACAACCCTGCCGGGCCAGCAGGACCTGCGATCGCTGAAATGTCACAAGAGGGCAGCAGATCACTGTGACGTGTTGTGCCTTCTGCAAAGGATGACGGGGCGTGTCATGAAGTAAGCCTGGCAGCTACGGCACCTGGGCAAGCGTAGCAAAACATATTGCTGTTGCGCCGTACATGGACACGTCAGCCCAAGGAGATCATCCGTGTGGCAGGCATGTCCGGGTACCACACTTCTGTCATTGTGGACAACCTGGAGTACTTCTTCGATGCGATAGGTATCTTACAAGCCGCTCCTCTCTTCAGCCACAACCTCAACGAAGCCAAGAATCCTGGTGGCAGTAAGACGGTCGTCACCTTCATCGGTTACAGCCACTTCGACGGCAGAGCGATGGTGGAAGCGCTGCATGAGTTCTTCGAACGAGGCTTGCATTTACTGCCGATTGTGTAGGCCCCAGCTTGGAAAACACCTCTTCATGCGAACCTGCTCGAAGGCTCTTATGACGTGTTCTACAAGAACTGTAGCCTGCTTGACGTTAATGAGTGCATTTTTGCTGGACGAGAGTCTGACGTACTGTCGCCGGCACGCTTAGGCAATACGTTTTCGGATGCTGCCCTGTACATGCTCACCAAGACACGAATCCCTGGGACCTACAATCGAATAGAAAGATTCGTGACAGCGACGAAGCCTGTGTCAATCAGTTTGCTCAATAGTTTCTTGGCAAGCAGCAGAGTGACACTTTTTCATTTCTGGGAGCTTGGCACTCCTTTGCACTAAGGGATATTCAAAGCTCTGGTCGAATCCTCTGGCGTGACCGTCCAGGGCGACATCTACACACCCAATCCGGTGTCTGCAGACTTTTCTGTGGATGGGGTTATTGCCTCGCTGGAAGGAGTTGTGAGCACATGTGCAGACGCAGGGTCGATGCCGTTGACCGCTGCAACTCTATACATCCGCAGGAGATGACGAGTCGGAAGAGTCGGATCACTCCGAATCTGACGAGGCAAAGGATGAGTTGTCATTGAATAACATAGTTTCAGACATGTTGTTTCTTGGGTTCGGACTATGGTGCGATGGTTGTCAGGAGTCAGACTAAGAAGAGATTCGGCAACAAGCTCTTGGTTCAGTCCACCTCGCTGATACCCAGTGTGTGAACGACGAACTTCTTTGGCTACGACAAGCTCTGCTTCGCAACTGTCGAGTGGAGTGGTTCGGGTTGCTCTCGTGCGCCTCTTGCAGAGTGTCGAAGAGCCGTAGTTGTAAGACTTGCAAGCTGCAAGATGGCTTGGGCAGATACGAAGCGCACGAGATTATCGTCAGCCTGATGTGCAAAACGTAACATGCTGTAGGTTTAGTATGCGTGTGCATGTCTTGCTTCCAACCCGCACATCCTTAGCGTCTGCTTCGGAATTCCAAACGTGAGTTGTTGACGGCATGTGAAGTCCTCTCTAACTTTGCAGTCGTGCGGAAAGGAGGCCCAACAGCGCCAGCAAAAGTTGCCAAGTTGGAAAGGGCCATACAAGCCCTGAGCTTCGTGACCCAAATTCGCAGGGTCGGAGGCATCAGTCCTCGATCCTCGACCAGTGAGGAGTTTGTTGCGTCACTGAAGAGAAGACCTGGTTTCGAAGTCGTTGACTCTTGAAGCAGATTGCATGATGTTGCATCCACACCAAATCACTAGCGCCGCTAGCCTTCTTGAGGTAGACAAGTACGTGCAGAAGGTCTTGTCTGAGACGCCAGCTCATGTTGAAGAGGTCATCATTGAGAAGGCTCGTCAGCAGTGACACGGCACGGGAGTGTGAATGCTACTGAATGCAGGATGGCTCGTACAGGATCGTGGAGGATGAGGTGGCCTCCGGTCTGTTGAGCTCGATGTGTCAGAGAAGATTCGGTCAAAACCCCACTGTTGTGCGAGGAGGATGCTGCTGGCAAGGACACGTTTTCCGGCTTTGAGAGTTCATTGTGAGTCTGATGGTGCGGCCTCGAACAAGGATGCCAGCAAAAACGAGACAGACAATGCTGAACAAGTGGGCGCAAATGACGCGCCGCGCGAGCCTGAGGAACAGTCTTCTCGTTTCGTCTTGCATTCACCGTTACTTGTCGGATCGTCCCTGTGGCCAAGGATGGCAGATGCAGATCAGCAGGCATGCTCATGCTCTAGCTCCTGCATGCAAGCCTGCTGATGTGTGGCTGGTTTGTCAAACAGGATGGCATCAAAAGACAAGGAACCGATGATGGGATTGAGGCAGAGCAGAGAGGATAGGGCGGTACGAGATCAAACGAGTGCTTCGGGTGTTGGGGTACATGCTTGCAGGTGCCTTTGTCCAAGCGCCAGCGAAGGCGGCAGAAGATTTTGGAAGCACGCGGAGAACTTCCTCATGCCACGGCACCCAGCTTGTGACACCTCTATCACAACAGCACAGCAGGCAGCAGGCAGAGGCACAGAAATGACCCAGGAATCCTAGATGAGACTTCCTCAGAGGGGTGTGGACATTCATCGGTGCAGCCCAGAATTCATAGATTCCTAGATGCGATACTCCGGCAGCCAGTGTGATCAGTGTGATTCACTTCTTCGTTCCACACAGAAAGTGCAAAAGTCAGCATTTGCAGATCTTGGTTTTAAGGGTTCGCGGTTGAATGCTAGCGTGGCTGAGAATGACGTTTGCCAGGTTGCACGACCTTTACCGTAAACATAGTTTCCGAACATCCTCTGCCACTGCCACTGACCTCACGAAGATATCGAAAACTACAAGGACAGTCTGTATTAGCCGAGGCGTGTATGCCGTAAATGGCCCAAGTCTCCCAAAGTTCGCCAGAAAGAAGAGCTCCGGTCTTGTGCTGTTTCCTTGCTGCTACGCGACTGCAACGGAAGATCGATGATGCAACGGCATAGACTACGAGCGGAAAGTAAACTTTGGAGCGCAGCAGCATCGAAAAGACAAATGACGAGACCAGCTAAAGTTCACAGTCATGTCAGTGTCGGAACACATATCTGACCTTGGTCTCTCTGAGGACACAGTGCCTGCCGCAGAAGAAGTTGCTGCCTGAACCCGGAAGTGTCTCGAGTGTTCGGGCGAAGCATACATTGTCTCGCATTAACACGTCACGTCACTGGTGACTGATATACATCATTTTAGCAGTTCTACTTGCTACAAGAAGTGTGGTTATTCAACAGGTGAGTCTGGAGTGGAGCGGGGTTGATCTGCGTGGAGCTGGTGCAGAAAAGAGCGCGGTGACATCTCTGCAGACTTTGGTGGCTTGTCTTCGTGGGCGCATGGTGCAGTCTGCAAGCCTTTCCATGCCGCCTTTCGGCTTGATTTCCAGTGCAGCTGCGGCCCAGACTTGCTTGCCTACCAGGCTTTTGCCGGTGGTGCGTCGAAGTCTATAGGGCAAGCTCTTGCTTGCATTTCTGAGAGGTCTGGAATCAGATCCATGGAGGCCGAGGCGGACTGGTTGAGGGGTTGGCGCCGGCCTGATATAAAGACTTTACGTCTTGGTTCTATGCAAGGTCAGAAGGCCGCCCAACGTGCAAATGAGTCGTTTGGGCCTCAGCCGCACTGATTTCGGCAAGGTTCTTTTTTAAGTCTGAGCGGAGTTGATTCGGGCAGAGCCGTGGCAGCTTTTGCTTCAGATCAGGTGACGACAACAACTTAGAGGAGGCGGGCCAGAAGCGCTCTTGTGCAGAGTCATCGGCTCTTGTTTCCCTGAGGGCGTGATCCCCAACCGAACCAGCCCTGCCGCAGCTAGACCAGGCTTGTTGCTTTCCGAGTGAGGTGTCGTTTGATCGGTTTTTCCTGCAGGCTCATCTCCTGCATCGCCTGCTGCTTAGACAACGGACTCAGTTGCTGCCTCGGCTAGTGTGGAATGGAAGCGGCATGCTGAGGCGATCTGCCTGCCGATGGATCCTTGCATTCATCTGCATGTACGACAGCCCGGAACGGCTACAGGCCGGAAATTTCAGGAATGATCAACTGCTGATGGTGCTCCGGCAGCATTTAGGTGCACTACCCGCCGCGCTTCAAAGTCTTGTTGACTGCCACTTGGCACGGCATGAACCAAGAGGTTTCGGACGTGCATGGACGTGTTGGTAGTTTAGCATCTTGGAACGGGATGTGATGTTTTAGGATTTTCGGCAACAAGGCCGAAGTCGTCGTTCGGAACCAGCAGCCACACATCCACCATGCCAACACAGTGTGTGTGTGTGTGAGAGTCTTTGTGTGCGTGTGTGAGAGCTAAGTAAGATCTGTGGGTTGTTTTGTCTGCGTGATGATTCCAACTGTCGCCCTCTGCCACTCAGCATGGTTCTTTGGCAAGGTAGTTGTAATCATGGCCGCTGCGTGGGTCACAAACTTCTTCATCAGCGTGCATCCATTGCTGGAGGCCGTAATCTATCAATCAGAGACGCTCGAGACATCTGAAGCCAGAGAAGATCCCGTTCATGTCTGAACAGCAGGAGAACGATGATCCACCGGAGTGCAAGTACGCGCTGAATCAGCTCAAGTGCGACGGTCTACCTAGTGGTGCCTAGTTCTGCGAGCTAGAGAAATCCAAATGCCTGATGCGAGGTACAACGCACGTGTCCTATTCGTCTATTTCGTTTGGTTCAGCATCGCGCGGGCATCGCTGTTTGTGTGGCTTGGTTTGTACGCATGGCGCGGTTCACATCGGTGTGCATCCGTTTTCGATGTGTGAGGCCGTGCGTGCTGGCACGAGTAGGCCCGGCTGCAGATTCATTGGGCAAGACCTGAGTAGTGGCTTGCATGTTGGACTTCCGTGAACTGGCAGCCACTGTTCAATCGCGGACTCACGGGTTCTGCCGCACGTGCGCCTTGCGAGTTAGATTTGCTTCGTATGTTCAAGCACGCTCTTGACACTTGGAAGCGAGGTACTGCGTGCACCTTCTCATACGAGATGGCCCAATCTACATCTTCGTGGCGCTTTGGCACGGCTTCAGGTCTGTATTCGTGTGTGGTGTATCTCATGCTTCAAACATCTGAGGTTGGTTCGGTGCTGTTCTGGTTCAATATTCTGCGCTCACCTAGCTGCGAAGACAGGAGACTGGAGACGCAACACAACTCGTTGTAGCTTGCGTGGTGAACTCGGGAGAAGACTTTCCAACCTGTCCGGTATGGCAGGAGTCCAGAGCTGTTGCTCGGCCTCATGCAGACATGTTTATTCTCGATGCTGTTGCTGTCGTGCGGTCCTGTAGTGCCGTGGCTGGCACGGATCCTCGGCACGTGCGCGCGTTTGAGGTATTCCAGACTGAAGATGTACGCGGTTTGTTCCTGTCTGTCTGCTCCCTAGCCTGCCTCCTTTTGGCTTGGGCATGTTCCGAGAATGTCCGAGCAGGTTAGCTTTCGCTTGCATCGTCGAAGTCTATTGGCACAACAAGAAGCTTGGATCGCACATTATATGGCAGAGGGGCGGAGGGTCCTCTAGGTCCACAGGGGTCGATAAGGCCTTTCAAGTGTGAGGCTGATTACGAACACCCTGGAGTTCTACTCTGCTTGGGTGCCAGAGGCAGGTGGATCGGATGCCTGTGCCAGAGGCTGTCATGTCGTAAAACCCGGGCTTTGATGTGTGCTCGTCGTGGAAATGGAGGTTTCGCGCCGGGCACCTCCGGACACATTGGAGAAGCTCGAGACCCGAAGGTACGAGGAGCATGCTTTTGGAGACGAGGACCCTTGCGCAAGCGACAGCTGGCCAACTTCAGTTCTTGCTTAACCAGTGTGTTGTTGGAAATTGGGAACGTTAGGTTAGGTTAGCCCTTGAGAGTCGGGAGGTGTTCCATTCATTACTTTATCACAGGAGGTGTGACTTTTTCCCGACAGCTCCAGGTGAATACGGTTCTTGATTCGCCTACAAGGGCCGAAAAAGCGGATGCTCCTTGAGTGCTATAAAGGTTGTCTCGCAGTTGGCTCTATCTGACGGCAGACACTGGATGTTGCGACAACTGTTTTGGGCATGGAAAGTGTCTTTGTCTCCCAAGTGTCTCCTCTTAGCACACGATCAGAGGCTGCATGCTGTGGCACTTTGTCGGGACTGGTGGACTCATGTGTTTCTGCGAGGAAATGCATTTGAAGTTGCGAATCTTTTTCAATAAAGGTAGACTGTAGAGCTACTGAGTCTCCATGAGTCTCCGTTCGCTATGTGGGCAGATCCTGACATGGGTGCTGCTTGTTATGAAACCATTCTGGAAGTGGCGGCTCCCTTTATTGCATTTCAATTGCATTCTAGTTAAACAATACATTTTTTAAGGTGTTATCTGAAAACTTAGAAACTTGTAAGACCTTTTTTGCAAGATTTGAAAAATATTGAATTTTTCAATTTTAAGTGATTTGCAATTAAAGTTTGAGAATACTTGAAATTTTCAAAACTTTAAAAGTTTTCAGCTTTTTTAGAATGCAAAAGTATTGAAAATATTGGTATTTTCAATACTTTTCAACTTTAAAGATTTGTAACATTATTGCTATTTTCTATTTTTATTATATTTTCAATCTTAGAAGTTTTTTCAATCATTCTAAATGGTTCAAGACTTTTAAATTTCAACATATGGAAAATTTTTTGAAGACTGGAACATTTTCAATTCTTTACATTCGAATTAAAATCAAAAAATGTTAAAATTGTTCAAATTTCAATATTCCCAACTTTTCAACACTTTTACTTGAACTTTTTCAGTTCTTTAGTTAAAGCCCAATCAAAAATTTGAAAATACTTGAAATTTTTGAAACTTTTACAATATTTAACAATTTTTGCAATTGGAGTTTTTCAAAAATTGAAAATGTTAACATTAACTTAAAAGTTCAACTTTACGAAATTCAAAATTTGTAAATTTTTAAAAAGTTTTGAAGTGTAAATTAAAAATAAATTTTCATTAAAGTCCAATTACAATTTGAACATTTCATGAACTTTTAAGATGTTTAAAATTTTTTAACAATGATTAAAACTTTAAGATTTTTAAACTAACATGTTAAAAGAAAGCTTTCAGTATTTTTAACAGTTTTTGAAGCTGCACAATTTGTTAAATTCTGAAAATTTAGATTTTTTGAACGTGTTCACCTTTCTCAAAAATGTTCGATTTTTTTGAAATTTGGATATTTTCAAGTTCTCAAAAAGTTTGATTATTGTTAAAACAATTCATGTTTGTTTTTTTGCAAATTGTTAAATTATTGAAAATTGCTGACATTTTTCATTATTTTTGAATTTTGAACTGTTTAAGGTTTTTATAACTTTTTAAATGGTCAGAAATCTAATTATGTTTAGGTTTTGATTGGAACTTTATTAAAATTTTCAAAACTTGCTTGAATTTTTTTTTCAGAAATTGGAAAACTTCAATTATAGTAAATTGGATCCGGTGACACCGCAAGCAGATGCGTCAACGAGTACAGAAAGGTTTTCTACACATATATATATATATGTATACACATATGTGTGTGTCTGTAGATAATGTTTATGAATGTTTACATACCTCACTCAGAACAGGCACTTCGTCCGCTACATACACGCCGCTTGCACACCCATTAACTCGACTCCCAACCTTGCTGTTCTATCCGATGGACTCGCTCAGTTATCTACTTGTGCTTTTATTCGGCTAATTCGTTCACCCCTCTTTTCACTCGTCTGCGTCCGCGGCAGTCGGTCGCTCGACTTGTGCGCTGATCACTGGATTGCCTCCAGTTGCATTGTGCGCTATTTTGATTTCGTACATTTCTCCATGTGCGCGCTTGCTACTTCTTGTCGTGTGGTGCTACCCCTCGTCCGCGGAGTGTCCCCCCCCACCTTTCGTTGTTGGAATTGCCCGTTGACCTTTCGAGGAGGGCAAGCAGTATCCTTCGGAGTGTGCGATCTGCTTGGGCAGCTGGGAATCAGAAGATGTGATCAAGGCGTGAGCGAAGCGCTCCGCTGTTTGGATTAAGCGGTCCTCTCCGAAGGGCACCTGCTGCGTATCGGAGGTGACTCCTTGTGGACATGCTTTTCACCAGGCCTGCGTCAGTTCCGGCAGTGATGAGAGCCGCCGCGGCTGCCTGTTCTTTCTTTTGCAGGAGTGCATTGGTGGTTGGCTGCAGTCCGCGCGGACTTGCGCACTTTGCCGGAAGGATGCCACTTCCTGCCTCAGAAGACATTTTCCGTCTGCAGCATCAAGCTGCAAATTCAGCTGGTGCGAGGACCTTGTGGTGCTGACTGCGGAAGGCGGGCACAGGCCAGGTCGAGCCTTGCCGAGCCCAAGCTGCGACCGTAGTCTTGAAATGCCGAAGCTCACAGGCAGCCAGAGATATTGGGGAACAGCCCGGACTTGGTGAAGCCCTCGGGTGCAGAGGGAGAGCCCCACGGCAAGCACCGTCGTTCTGAGGTCCAACAAAGGTGAGGAGGCCAGTAGCTGCAAGCGGCAGCTTCGGAATATTTTCAATTCATGTGGACACAGAGGAAGACAAGAAGAAGAGGCTGGAGTTGATATCAACAAGTATCCTGTGCCCACACAGGCAATGAACCAAGGCATGAAGTTGCCAATCTTCCGTCAACTGGCCTCCCCGTATAGTCTTTGCGTGGCTTACAGCGGTCCTCGCAGCACACAGCACAGACTACCCTGCTGTAAGCTCTCGAGATAAATTGATATATTTCGGAAAGTTCCTGGTTCTGTTTTGATTTGTGTGGTGCTGTTTTTGTGGGCCGGGACAGCAGGACTTGATCTGACATATTGCACGCAAGGATGGCGCATGTTCGGTTTCGGATCAACCCCTGCATTCCTTGGAGTTGAGCTCTAAGAGCGAAAAGACTCCGTTGCCACCTCTTCGCGAACCCAACGAGGTCTCTGCAAACTTGGGTTAAGCCCGAGGAAGCCGGGAGCATGTTTTTTGGAGGAAGAGGATACTGGTGAACAAGCCAAGCATGGCTGCACGGCTCGACTGGGGATAGAGGTCAAGTGAGGAAGTAGAGAGATGGTACGCGAGCTCACGCTTGAGGGATAATGAGGCATCCAGCTTCCCTTCCTCCAAGGTAAATCTGTTTCAACGTAGGTAGGCGGATCACACCTGTTGATGCCGGGTGTCTCTCAGAGGGAGGCAAACAGGATGGCACTTCGAATCCTGGGTGCTGTCTTTTCTATTGAGTAGCCTTGTGAAAATCCGATGGCAGCTAGCATCCTTGTCTGGATGAAATGGTGTCAGGCATAACAGCAATGGACGGTTCTGCAATGCCAAGAGTCGTGAAATGTTGTGAACCATTTAATGTCATAGTGAGTTTAACAGAGTTTAATGGAGTCTAATCTCATGTCGGACACCAAGTGCTGAATCATTTGCCAGCTTCACGAAAGAGGTTTGGCCCGGGCACGGCTTGGCACGGCTTGGCTTTTCATCACCAAAAATCCAGCGCAGTTCTACCCTGACTGGGTTCAGGAGAACGTGTAGACACAAGCGACTTTGAGGTTTGGCAAGGATACTGCTTTCTGCTGCAACGTTCCATCAATGGGCATGTAGCAGTTGGCTCGTGCCTGGTCCGGTCCACTTCTTCAAAAATGGGAGATGAGGAGGACTGTTCAGCTCGCCCGAGGTATGCTTAGGCTGCAGTGAGTTGCGTACTAGGAAAGGCAGCCGCCTGGCGTGTACCGGCCTTGGTGGTCCTGTGTGTGTGTGTATTCGTCGGCAGGTTCCCGTCTGAGTTTTCCAGGTACACCTTGGTGACCGAAGCTGGTGAACAGAAGACTTCCATTGGATTCACAGGCTTCTCATTAGAGCACGTGCTTTGCACTATGTCCCTCCGTATCCATGTACTGCAGGCAAGGCCACAGCGAACTACGCCAATGGAGACATTTACGAGGGCTTGTTCGAGAACGGCATAAGACATGGCCAAGGAACATACACGTGCGCATCGTAAGGGACATGCAGCAATGAGTTTAACTTCAGTGCAGTCCAGAACCGAAGGTACTTGAAAGGAGACGTCTTTTCCGGGACCTTCGACAACAACCAGAAAACTGGTTTGGGCAGAATCGTGTGCGCTGCGCCGCGCTTATCCACATGTTTGGGTTTGGCAACCCGTGCAGATCTGTGCAGGATGAGTCAAGGATGGCTTTCATCATTAGGACTAGGAGCCCTGCACAGGGTTGTTTAATCTGATATCTCCCCAGCTCAAGTGTGCTTGAATTTGTACTGGAGCATCGGAGCCGTGGTGATTGCCATCAGACCAAGATCAGCGATGGCCCTCATGACAAGGGCCTCTCGGCGCCTCTGGATAATTCGGACTATTCTCTCATAGACTTCGCTTGTCCAATCAGTCGCATGATCCAGTTTGTAACCAAATCATTGTCGTCGGTCGGTCACACCAAAACACCGCGAGCCGCCTCATCTGTTGCAGCCGACGTAACCAGTGCGTGCCTGAGAGGTACAAGAAGGGTGGCTACTACCACGGGCACTTCAAAGGTGGCAAGCGCGAGGGTGAGGCCCTAGATGAACATGACCCGTTTACACACCGAGTTTTGCAGTTGTGCTGACAGGGCACCTTTCAGTATGCAAACGGTGACATTTTCTCCGGTGGCGTGGCTCGAATGTGCCTGATGCGAGATCACAGGATCTCGGTCCTCAATTGCACATTCCCTGAGGTTACTGGAAGGATGGCAAGAAGCACGGAGCCGGAACGTGCTGCTGCTGTTTGTTCGGGAAGCTGCATCCGTTATCAAATGCAGACTTCGTGAGGTATGTGTTCAACAAAACCAAGTACGAGTACAAGGGCGAATGGAAGGCAAGGCCCCCGCAGTTTGCGCACGTGCGCCATCCCAAGGGGGCCCGGCCAGGATGGGCAGATCACAACAGGAACCTGGACGCTCACCGTTGCGCCTGAGTCGCTTGAAAACGCACGGAGAGGACGGGAAGATTTCTGTTGCTTCAGGATGGCACGCAGTACCAGGGAACCTTCCAGAGCCAGCTGCCGAGTTCAACGAGCGTCCGTCATGTGATGTGCGCTGACATTGATGTGCCATGTAATGAGGCCAGAAGCCTTGCGGCGATGCAACTTGGAAAACTCGTCAAGGTCGATCAGCCGTGCTATTGAGTGCCACGCCCTGTTGTCTTGCGGCAGGTACCGTCGTGGAAGGATCTTATGTGCAGCAGGTGGGTTTGTAATCTCCAGGGTGTGCGTGAAGGTGGTTGGTGATTTTTCTGCCTGCACAGGTGGTGCCATTGGACTCAGCACCACCGGCCAAGTCACGTGGTCTTGTAAAGGTTTTCAGCTGTCCGTGCGTTCTCGTGCTGCCAGAGTTGCTTCTCCCACTCCTGGCATCTCTCCTGGGCATCTAAGGCCTGGCGAACCTCCGGCCGTCGTCACACGGTGCTTCTGGACAACTGCAGCCTTGGTGGCCTGACGGTGGTTCGAAGCAGCGTCTTCTTGACTCTGGCCGGCGTGTCCCTTCATGGTGAGTTTTCACGGGAATGAGTGTGGCTGAGGTGGCTGCAGAGAGCTGAGCATGCGAGCAATTCCAAGTGGCCGACGGGCCAGGGCCTCGTGCATAGATTGCTCCTGGGTGTTTGATACCAGATCGGGCCCAGGAACTTCCGAACCTGAAGTGCGGGTACGCGACGTTTCACACATCCACGAGCTGGACTGGTCCTTGAATGGGAAACCAAGCCTAGCAGTCTCTTCGTGCTGGTGCACAAGGATGCACGGTTTATGTGCTTGCTGAATCTTAACCGTCGCTGATGCTCAAGCATGTACATCTGATATCTTCAAACCGGAGCATCGGAGGGCTGAGGGTCTCTGCACTATCGTTCCGAGATCAGGGCTTAGGGGTCCCGCAGACTTTCGTTTCATTAGCAGGACTGACGGGAGATAAGACGCGGACATGGGCGCTGCTTGGTCCTCATGGGATCCACTGTCCGCTTGTGCAGGGGGACCAGCTCCAGCCAATGGGCAAACGAGTAGTGGAGGTGGCAGTCAAGAAGTGGATCAAGCGGTGGATGAGATCAGCGCACAGGCTGCAGAGCTTGAAGAAGCAATGATGCAAGAGGCCCAGGGCCCCTGGGTGGTTCCTCTGCATCTTTCCTAGCCTAGTCGAGTGTTTTGGATGTGCATCTGCCATCTCTCTGCAGCACCTTCCTCTTGTGCATTGGGTTCTGTTCCTGTTCCGGAAACGCTGAATGTCCGAACACTTGAGCATGATTGAATGACATCGAAGAATGAAAGTCCCAACTCGCCTTGATTTCAAAAGCCCGTTGTTTGGCATCGTGTCAGCATGTTGGGAATGTTGCCACGCTCAGTGGAAGGCCCTGCATACTCGTGTTGTATTCTCTCGGAAGTGTAATTGTGCTCGCCATAGCCTTCGTGAGAGGCACAGAATACCACAGATGAGAGAGCCGCGCTGGGTGATCTGGGCTTGTTTCTGGGTTCGGTGTCAAAGGGCAAGTACAACAGGTGCTCAACTCTATAGTCTATAATTGCCTACTCCGGCCTAAGCGCTTAGTGCTCCGAACCGAGCCGCTTGAAAATAAGTATCGAAGAGTCTAAATGCGTCGAAATCCGAAGTTGGCCATGCTTGCATCACAGTCCTTGAATCCTGGTGAGGCCATGTACCAAAGCCTGGTAAACGTTCCTGCCGCTGTGGAGGGGCATGAGGATTCTGACTTGCAGGCTGCGATCCAGCAGAGCATGCGCCCGCAAGCGCCGCCTGAGCCTGCTCCAACGGAGGAGTCGATGCGATTGCAGCGGCTGCTGGACAGCTTGGGCATGAAGCGGATTGATGTCGGGTCCACAAACCTGAGCGAAGACGGGGCACTCCTGAGCAATCAGTGCTTTTACCTTGCAATAGCCCGGAGCTGGCTCGCTTCTGCCGAGCACGGAAGTGGAATGCTGGTGCGGGATTCTGCTTTGCAGCTGAAGCGGGAGATCGAAGCATGTGTCTTCTGCGTTAGAGGAGATGCACGGGAACTCGGCGACGAAGCGGAGGCTTACACGGACTACCTATCCTGCGTAATCCAAGGGCAGAGCCCAGCCTCCACTTCGGCCATTGCAGACTTGGCAATTGCAATCTTTGCATCGAGCCTCGGTGGGATTGAAGCCTACGAGGGACAAGGCCACTTGATCTCACTTTGCATCCAGTTCGCAAGTGCTTTTTTTCCTGGCTTCGGCCTTAGCGGCAAGGTTACTCTTCCCTCCCGCGGGAGCAGCAGGTCGCCAACCTGGCTCTGGTTTGGCACCGTCCTGGGCACTTCGAAGCTGTCGTGGCCAGCGATGGAGGCCATGTAATGTGCCGGGTGCCGGTGGCATAAGGGGAGAACATGTTAGTTTCGTGCAGCGCGGAGGCAAGGTGGGCATCAACCTGCGAGAGCTCATCGAAATTGCGCAGGGGCAGTGGCCTGGCTTGCCTCTGTTGAATTTCCCATTTCTTCTCTATACTCTGCAGTGAAGGCTAGAATGTGCGATGCGATTGCCGCGTTTCGCTTCTTGTTATCCACTGCAGCTACGGCGGGACAGGCTGCCCTCCATCATGTGTCGCTGATCGCATCCCAGGAATGTCGTTGCCGCCGTGGTCAAAAACTGAAGTCCCGCGGCTGGCGCAAGCGCCCCCAGACGTCGGAGTGCGGCGGGGCCTCAATGCAAAGCCTCTTCTTTGGCGACCACCGTTCCTTCGATCTGCTCGGGTCGAAGCGCCTCGGAACTCTACCCGTCGGGATCGGGAACATGTGCAGAATCCAGAGGAGGCGGGGGGGCGATGCACGATGCTCTCACATGCGAACAGCGCTCGCCATGTTGTGCTGAACAGCGGCGCATGCAAGGGCACTGGCTGCCTCTGCAGCCAAGGAGATTGGTACTCAAGAGCAGGAGACCTGCTGATGCCGTGCTGCCGTCGGGATTCAAAGCCCCCTTAAACTTGCTTTGGCTTCCCGTCAATCTGCCACGTCTGTGCAAGCTCGGCCTTCTTCGAAGGTGGCGAGGTTGGTTTGTTCGCAAAGCCACGTTCAGGTTCAGATGGTCTTTAAGGCGCGCACACACACATGATGTAGGTCACAGGCCCCAATGCCGGCAGATCAGAGAAAGCAATCTGAGCTTTCATGCATGGGAGTTTCTTTCGCTGCGTTTGACACACCACCACAATGACAGACAGGCAGAGAGTTGATGCCAGGGCAGATGATCAAGACACGTCTACTCGTTTCACTGTTGCAATGGGCATTCTCCGCTCTTTGGGCAGTGGCAGTGGGGCCTTCGAAGGCAGCGATCTCGAAGGCTGCGGTGCAGGCCCAGCCACTTGCACAGCAGCCGTTCAATCGGCCGCGTGGCCATTCAGGCAACCAGCACGGCCCGCACGGCTGGTACGAGAAATCCAAGAACATTCTTTGAAGCTTGACGCAGTCCGCTTGCGCCCGCTCCGCCAGCAGATGGCATCTTTCCTCAAGGTGCCCACAAGTTTCGAGGATGACGAGGATGATGCCAGCAAGGCTGAAGACGATGAGATCCCACGGCCTCCGGACAGCCCGCCGGCGCCCTATCCGAGGACTTCTCTAGCAGTGTAAAGACAGCACCTCCCGAGGTTGAACAACCTGGCAAAGTTCCGGAGCAAACACGTCTCCGGCTTACAGTGCTAGGACCGGGATTAGAACACCTCTGCTATGCGGAAAGGCTCGGACACAGGATGGCTACCTCTGTGCTGCTGCCGGTGTGAAGGACGAGCAGGCCGAGGGCACCCAAATCTTCAGCAGTCCCCGAGTAGAGAGTCGCGACGCAGGCCTTCACAGGGTGCACAGACCTCCCGGCACCGGATGGGACAAACATTGGGAGGAAGCCACGGTGGAAGCTCAGATCGAAGAGATTTGACGAGGGATGCCAGTGCAGGAAATGGTGTTACATCGAACCAGCTCAAGTCGAAACGGCAGGCCGTAAAGCGCAGAGCAGGACTGACTGCCATGCCTTTTGGTGATTGCTGGAGGCAAAGAGTGGGGCTGGTGCCGTGCCGCACTCTTGGTGCCTCACCGGGCGAGCGGGCGAGGCTCGGCGCGATGCCCTGCAACCGAGGCATGGACGGGCTGGCCAGACATCGTCGACGGGGTAGAGCTGCCTGCATAGTTTCATTGGACATGTAAGGGCCTCGGCAAGAGTGAGATGAACGGATGAATCAGGAATAGACTCAGCCCTTCGTTGTGTTGTAGCTGGTCCGTTTCGTTGTCTCGTTTTTGCCATGGCCTTCCTTTGCTGAGTTCCTGACGTCCTGGTAACTGTGTGCACGCTCGGCCCTTTTTCACACTGGAATCCACGCCCTTGGGGATGCATTCTGGTCTATTGGTTTCGATCACTTGCGTGTCAACTCACTTGTTGCCTTGAGTGTAAAGCCCAGGTGACAGAAAGCTCCTGACATCAAGCGACTGAGGATGCAAAGCTCGCCCAGTGACAACTTGAAGCTTCTGAAAAGGCAGTTGTTGACCACTTGGTGAAGGTTCGAATCATGCTAGGCCATAGGATGACGATCGATTTCACACTGCGTCGTTTTGTGCACTTCGCAATCTTGGACCAAGCTTAGAGCGGGGATCATGCCCGGATGGGCATCACCTTCCCCGCGAGACCAGCCAGACTCCACTCTGCACTATTGCAACCCTTGCCTGGTGTATCTCTGCATTCTGCAGTCTGTGTTCGGAACTCTGAAAGCGCAGACCATCTGTGCTTGCACTGTCAGGAACGAAGTTGACGGCCTGAAATGTTTCTAAAGAAGGATGGCCAATTGGACGAGGACGGCCAGAAATACCTGAACTCCCACAACTACAGCTCCTTGTCCTGAAACTGGCGGAGAGGGACAGAGCGTACGTGTGAATGCATCGAGCGCCCAAGGCTTGAAAAGCCTTCTTCATGGCACAAAGCCGAAGCAGAGCTGGGAGTGCTCTGGAGAGATCTTCTGGAAACTGTAGCTCTGGTGAGTCTTTTCAACAGAATGCCTGTGGAAGATTTGCCGATTCGACTTAGGTTTGGAAGTAACGTAGCGCGGGCATGTGACTGCACCATCGCAGTGGCCGGGAGCTCGATCTATGTCAGCTATGCCTGTTGCAAAGCACCTTGCTCCAGTACTTCAGGTTGCGACCTTTGCTGTGTCGATGGGAGCATTTCTGCTGCCATGGGCATTGGCAATTTTATGCGTATTGACAGCTGGATATATCATCGGCAAGCTAGCGTGCTCCATGTTCATTCTCGTGCTCAGTGTGGCCCGGCTTGTCCGAGCTTCTTCAGCTATGTGCCGAACCACTTGCGCAGTGCAATGCAGAACAAGCGTCAAGTTGCTGCAGGTCCTTGTGGGCAAAATCCACAAGAATCAGCATGAGCGAGCGGTCGTCTTCTGGAGTTGGTTGGTCGGTCGCACTACCGCCTCTGCTCCCTTAGGCCGTAGGCCGTAGGCACTGGAGCCGAGGTTCCCGTGTTGGAAGTTTCTATTGTGCTGCGTTGGATGCCTCGCCGGGGCGCTTACCGGACACCAGCTCTGGCAGAACTACTGGCAGCAGTACAGCGACATTTCGCTTCTCAAGGCCAGGCTGCGGCAAGTAGGCTGAAAACACGGAAGAGGAAGCTGGTATGACGGCACTTTGCATGTGTCTGCCCGGGGAGTTTGGGGCAAACTCAGGCTTATCATGGCATAGATCCGTCTGTGGTTCCGGGAAGTCAGATTCAAGATTCTGGCGCGGTGGACTTTGTCTCTGCCAGTGTCGATTCTGAACACGGCGGATGCTTCATGAATGCTGGCACGACCTACTGCGTGGCACCGATAGTCGCAAACGGCACGATCCATCACAGTGTTGGAGGGGCGCCGCGGTATGGAAGCTTCGATTACTTTGCTGTGGGTGTTGACTGTTGTTCGTGCCTTGGCTCAGCAAATTGGCTCCTACAGTACGGCTACTACGGACTCTTTTGGGCTTGAGTTAAGCAGTCTTGTCTTCATATTTCGGTTTACATAGAGTCGGCGGCCAAGGTGTCCGAACATAAACTTCCGATGTGGTGCCTGGAGGCATCCTTGGGCAGAGGGCGGAATCCGTTCAACAGACTTGGAAGCCAGACCGTTCTTCCGACTGGCTGTGGATGAATGGGCCAGCACATACCGCAAGACCTCCAATCACCCTCTTTTTTTCGAGTGGGTTGAGTCGCCGGTTGCGCACTGGCAGCTTGCCTACAGTTGGCTCTGCAACTAGGCTTGAGGACGGCATGTGCGCACACAGATCATCCTGTGGCCTGTCACCAGGAAGAGCCTGCGTCGTCAATTCCTCCACCGGCTTTTGCTGGCACTGGTGTGCTGCATCGGCATCGTCATGGCCTTTACTCTGACGCTTGCGCGACTGCTGCAGGCATGGCAGAGTGAAGCAGAATGAAGCACACAAAAGAACGCTTAAGATACGACAATATGCGACATTCGAGGAAGCCCTTGAAGAACCAGCAGTCTTGATGCTACCTCTGTCGAGGCCCTCGTGGTCCATGGCTTCGCCTCACCCCTCAACGTGCCAGCACCGCCAGACGGCTTCGAGACTGCCTGGGCACGCTTCCTGCCAGAAATGCTTGAAAGCTACAAGGACCAGCCAGAAATTGGTATGCTTGAACACGGGTGCAAGGGAACTGATAAGATTGTTTTTCGAGTCCGGGGTGTTATCACATGGAAACACCCAAGTCCAACAACCACTGGCAAACTCGAACATGCAGGAGAGTCAGTTGCAGCAGAATGCTCCATCTTTTGCAGAAAGCCCTGAGAGCTACTATGGAGCTGTTGACACCTCGTCTACAAGCTCTGCCTGAACATCGGGCAGGCGTTGTCCGTTCGCATCTCTGAGAGCGAAAAGAGACGTCACACGATGATGGTCTTGGCAGTCACTTCAGATCTGCGGCCACCAAGCTCCTGATTTCATGGTTGCGCATTTTTCATGCTAGTCGAACCATCTGAACTTCTCCCGACGCTCCCTCTCGCACCAACTCGAGCAAGCTTTCGAGTCTACAGCTCAGCTCAAGTTTGCTGCAGACTCTCTAGCTCAAGAAACGCGTGATGCGCTGAACAGATTCATGCCATGCAAACCCGGCCGTGGCGGCCTTTGGGGCATGCTCATCCGGCCCACTTGCGAAGTTTCCTTCGGGGGCTTCCTGCCTGGCACCTGCTGGGCCCACTCGATGAACCGCAACTGCCGCTCTGATGAAGGGAGGAAGGGGCAAGGCAGCAAAATAGGCTGGGCCGAGAGAGATACAAGTGATCTGACAGGTGCAGCATCTATGAGTGTTTGGATAGAGGCTTGCTGGAGGAGGTGCAACGCTTGGTATTGCCGTGAGTTCGTTGCGACAAGCGCGATTGTGCTTCTTGTACTTTGTCTTCTCAATGTTCAGTGCATGCAGATCAAGCTCTAGGTAGGTAGGTGGTTCAAGCAGAGAGGCCACGCACGCACACAGACACACACACACACACACAGACCCATGTACACGCACGCACACACACACACAGACATACACATGTTTAACTCGGCACGGTTCATGTAGTCTGCGCTGAGCTGGTTGCTTAGTGACGTTCCTTTGCGATAATGCATACATAGCGGCTTCTGAAGATGGCAGCAAAGATGGAGGAGCTTTCTTTCAGTTGTGTTCAAGTTTCAGCCAGCACAAGGTCCTGTGCACTGCCCAAGCTTGCCAAGCCTCAGCAGGAGGAGGACAATCCTTTCAAGCTGCCTCCCGACGACCAGATCTTTGCCATTCGGGAGAAGGAAAGGCAGCGGCGTGCAGAGGAGCGCGAGAAAGTGAAGCAGCAGCATGTCTGGGAGAAGGTGTGCCGGGCCCAGCTGCATCTAGTGAAGATGCCAATGGTTCAGTCAGTGTCTCCGCATTGGGGCTCATCACGAGCCTCGTGAGCTTGAGGACATCAGCATCAAGGATCAGCCGGACTCGCCGAGTAGATGCCACTGGGAAATATGAGTACATCCCGCGGTGGAGAGGTGTCGCACTGCGTTTTCAAGCTCTGCGCATCTGCAAACCACTGAGGATGGCATCGACGACACCCAGGTTGCGGCCGAAGCTGCACGCAAAGCTCGCTCGGATCCCCGCACCGAAGGCTTGCCTATCGGCCGGAGCCCAAGACCCAGGACTCGCTCCTTCCCTCATGGTTACCGCCCTGTTTTTGGCCAAGGCCGCGATGCTCGCAGAGAGAAGGACGCAGGGATGTGCAGCTTAAGGGCTGCCTTTGGTTTTGCGTGGGCTCGGTCCGGCTTTGCAGTTGAATCTCTCGAGGAGAACATAGCCGACTTTGTTGCAAAGAAGCGTGAAATGTTCTTGGTTCAGATGAGCCTAGATGTCAAGAAAGCAGAGATTCTGAAGCTGGACGCCAGAGCAAAAGACAAGGAAGAGGCAGGGCGGCACAGTGGAGCTGCGACAATGGTAGCTTCAGCACAGTGCCTTTGCCCTTGCACCAGTTTTGAAAGGCCTTGAACAAGTCCAAGCAAATGCTTGACAAGGATGTTGAAAGGTTTGATACCTTCCTTAGCTGGTACCTCAGCAGGCTCAAGGCACAGGTACTTCGGGGCCCGATGCATGCGACATCAGGCACCAACGACTCAAAGGCTCACGCGGCCATGAAAAATGCTGATGAGACGGCCAAGCAAAAGCAAGAGCGGGCTCTTTGGCAGCGATTCATCCTCTAGCTCTTGCACTCAGCGCAGCATGGCTTTCAACAGCACGCGGGAATTTAACTACACAGCACATCCCTCTGGTCTGGGCTAAAACTTGCCGCTGCTGAGCCTGGCTGCCTCTTGAGGTGGGCCGAATCAAGTCACTGAAGTCACAACTGAGTGCCATCCAGAGCCACATGTTTGCAAAGCTTTGAAGGTGTTGTTGCCCCAGGGCCGATGCCGGTGTTTCAACCGATGTGGGATATCTAAGGCGAGATCGCCAAACATCGAGAGCAGAAAGATGAATGTTTGAGGCAAATACGTGTTCAAGCGCGCCAAAAGTCCGCCTGCTCACAACTTCTGGGCCTGCAGGTTCAAAGACTTCCTTGTCAATCTCACGCCTGGCGAGTGGAAGGAGCAGAAGCGAGAGGAAAAGAAGCAACGCAAGCACGAGCGACGGCGCATCGCGGCGTGTCGGCCGAATTATGGCATATGTTGCAGCATGCTTGCAACAACCAGATTCTGATACCATGAGGTGGATGCCAGGATGGAGGATATTGAGGAGAGAATGCAAGCAGAAATCGAAGCCGAAGAGCAGGCTTTCAAGGAGAAAGAGGAGAAGGAGAAGTGCCCCTGCAGCAGTGGCCGTGTAAGTTGGCAACTGCTGATGTTGTTGTACAAAGGAAAGGTCGTCGTCGCCAAAAAAAGACGGAGGAAGATGAGCAGAAGGAGAGAGAGGCGGAAGCCCGCCGGAAGCGGATTGCCAGAAGCTTGCCTTTACCATCTAAGCTCAGTGGATCTGTGAAGCCAAGTCAGATTGAGATGCGAACGTGTCCGCCGCGCGACTTCAGGAAAGTATCCAACAAGAGACCAGGTTGACATGGAGTATGTCGAGTACTCTAGCGGTGAAGATGCCTGTCTTTGATTTGTGGTGTGTGGAGCGATGCTTCTGCGATTAGCCGAAAAGCAAATTTTTGTCTTTCTGACATCCAGGAAATGCCGCTATACTTTCAAGAGCCCAAGCAGCTCCTCGACATTTTCACATCACTCGAGGAGTCCAACCTCTTTCTCATACAGAACTCGCAGGCGGGTAATGATGCTCCTGGGATTTCCCACGTGGATAGGTCCTCCCTCCCCTGCCAGGACACAGAGCAGGCCCTGGAGGAGCTGGATCAAAAGTTTGCAGCCATGCGAAAAACGCGAGAGGCCGCAGCCGGTGTTGTACTGCGCCAACACGATGGATCACCCATGTTGAGAGCAAGATTCAGCAGCAGAGTTGAGGCCATGAGCAACAAGATGAAGCTCCAGATCGGGCAACTGGAGCGTCAAATCACCGACGAGAAAAGCAAATGCGACGAGCTGAAGCAGCGGCCTAGCTGCATCGTGTCGCACATGGCGCATGGTCTTAGGGGTCACACGTGCATAAGTGACCGCAGGGGTTTTCAGGAGGCTATGGGAATCGGCTCTAAACCCGTGAATGCCAGCAATATTAAGCAATGTTCATATATGCTTTGTGAAGTGACTATGAAGGATCATCCTGCCTTGAAACTTAGGGTGTTGCATGTCTTCTCAGCAGACATTCCCTTAGGCCCTAGCTGCTTTCGAAAGTCGCAGTCGGGTTTTAACTGGGACCGCCAAACAAAGCCGTAGAGGCACGTAAGGATGCTGTGATTGAGTCCGGGTTGCTGTGGATGTTAGTGGTCTTCCCCATCAGTGCGGCGCTTCTTGCGCGGAGGGGTGCAAAGTTCCATGGGCTCCTGGAACTTGTGGTGCCAAGCCATCGTCACAACTGCGGAGTAAGTTGTTGGCATGAGAACGAAAGCAGCCCCCCGCCCCCCCATCCCCCCACCCGCAAAGTCCTATCCTAGCACCGAAATCGCAAAACCTGCAGAAAAGCGCACGGCCAGACACGGACGTGTGTGGTGTCAGGGACTGTGAGACAGGAGGTTTTTCAGCTGCCTGCAGGGCGATATCGCAGAAGCACGGCGGTTCCGAAATTGAGGCTCCTGGTCCGCATGCCGCATTCCACTTCTCAAGTTGCATGGGACTTGTGAAGGACCTGCTGGAGAAGCTCGGGGAAGGCGTCCAGGAAGTGCACAGCATATGCACACACGAGAACCAGGATGACGGTGACACCTTGCACCCCGGCCTGCAGTGGCGCTATTTGCAGGTGCATGCCTCTATGAGCGAGCTGGCAGCACCCGGCTGTTTTCGAATACCCAACCGAGTCCTCGTACCAACCGTAGCAGCTTCCCAGTCCCAAGTCAAGGCAGGAAAGTTAGATGGGATTCGGACTGGCATCGAAAAGCATCTGCTATATAAAGGTAGAGATGCTTCACATGACTTCTTGCATCATCAGCACTGCTTTTGATATGTTTTGTGCGTTGTCAAGTCATACTTGTGAGGTTTGACACAATTTTCAGACGCACACTCTTCCAACCCACAATGCCAGCAGGTTTGTGCAATTGTAACGGCGACTTGTGGTATCACTTCCACTTCACAACGGCATGGGGATGCAATCACTCAAGACTGACTAGGCAAATGCTGGCTCGTATTGAGTCCAAGCTCGAGGAGTACTTAGCCTATCTGGATGAGGCTCTGCAGCTTTCACGTGTCCTGTCATTGTGTCCAGAAAAGTGAACACGCCAGAGGCAGAGGAATCAGGGCTCGGAGCTCGGGTCTTGGCAGAGGAGCACAAAAAGGCCCGTGCGCATCGACAACTGCCCAGTTTCTCTTTCCAGAGTCTTCCGGCCTCGCAGGAGCGGCAGAGGAGATTAGACCTGCGCATGAGTCGCAAATTGCATCAAGAGAAGAAGATCGAGGATCGGCTTAAAGCTGGGAGCTCAGCTTGTCTTGCCTGTCTTATGTTGAAAGCTGGTTCAGCCCCTGTCCGGACAGGCGTCGCTACATCGATCCCAAGCTCCGGTACACAAAAAGGCACTGCGGGAGCGATTGGGATCGCTTGGCCGGGCACGGAGAGAGCAAGGGCTTTGATTCCTTCCTGCTACTGGTAGGTTGGCAAGCAGATCATGTTCCGCTCGGCCCCACTCTTCCAAGCACGCGCGCTGCCAAGGGCATCACGCCGCTCCTGCTCTTTTTCTGTGGCAGCATTGCCACCTTTGTCTGACTCAGGACGTGTCGTGCAAGAGGATGACGGTTACGAGGAGGCAGTTCGTGAGCACAACATCTTCGGAATCTGGCTGGACAAAGAGGGAGTGCCGAACGCGCAGCAACCAGACCCTTTGTCAAAAATGTGTCTGTAAATTGCTTGCTGTTCGGGAAAACCTCTAGCCGCCGATGCTTTCATGCGAGGCTTGCCGATAAGTCCGGTGTAGATGCCACAAAGCATCGGGTGCTGTTCGACTAAAGAGGTCCACCTAATGCGGTCGGGCTCTGCAACAAACAGCCGCTCCAGAACCCACCCGTCAGTCCGACAATCAGAATCACTTATCGCACGGTCTCTTGTGTGTTCGTCTGACCCCCTTTGCTCTCGAAGCAAGATCTCCTAATGAATGATCACTTCAACAAGTCAACTGTTTGAAGAAAGGCTTTCGTGACTTGCATGACCAAGGAGAAAGCAGAGACATGATGCTGAGCACTCAATGTGTCACAAATCATGCTGGCGTGAACCGCAAAATGTGGTTCTCGATGCCAGGACATGATGATATGCAGAGACCAGACAGCGGTAAGGTCTGGATTCGAATACCACATGCAGAGACTGGAAGCTGCTGCATCATTGGCAGAAGTGTTTCACCACACGTCGGCCTCACGACTCCCTCGCTGTCCAATGTCCCGCGCGATGGCGCCGAGACCTCTGGACGGCTTGGAGAGTCCCACAGCTTTTCGAACTGTCGCATGGCGAGCAGAAACAAAGCCGTGGCAGCCATGGGCCATGATGGGATCCGACCAACATGTTGCATTACGGCTCAGGCACAAGACCAGTGCGAACACCTGGCCGGTGATTCCAGCAAGGAGGCCTCTACTTGTAGTTATTTCAGGTTCACCTGTTTGCACTAGCAGTTCGATGCAGCTCTGCGAGATGGCTTGTTGTTTTGCCGGGGCAGCCATTTCGAAGCTCATTGCTTTACCCCTTTGGATCCCGTGTCCAACTCGTTTCAGCTTCTTTGGATGTTTGGCATGCCGAAGAGTGGTGCGTTTGGTCTTGGCCGAAGCAGTCCGACAGCCGAACTCTCCAACACAGTGGCCATTACCGACGCAAAGTGGAACTGGCCAGTGGTCGACCAACAGGTGGTATCGGTGTTGTCAGAATTTGGGGAGATCGCCAGGCTTGATACCTCGCTCGTCACAGTTGCAGGATGCCTCCTCGTCACCTTTTTCGATGTTCGCTGTGCGCAGCGTCTGATGCTCTCCGGGATAGCACAGGTGAAGCCATTCCCTCCTGCTGCCCACGATTGCCGCACGGTCAGGGTAAACATGCTGGCCTTTGCGGAGAGAGTCGGGGAAGCCGGTGGAGGCTTCAGCCAGCCGTTCGCCTGAACTTTACGGTTTGTTTTCAATTTCCAGGACTCCAGTTGCAGTACCCGCGCTGGCCCAAGGTTCGGTGAAGTTGCAGACATTTCGCTTCAGGGAGACGCAGCTTGGAATGACAGTTGCTTTCCTCGAAGGAAAGAACCATGATGATGTTGCTTCTTCATGCCGAGGCAGCGATCGTCGAGTTTTACGACATTCGCTCCGGTCATATGCTGCTTGCTGCTTCTCAGGGCACTGCAGTTCCATGGGTGTGGCAGCAACTTGCCTTGAGCATAGCAACGAAGCCTAGCAGAGATGTGTAGACGGGTGAGCAGAATCCAGGCCATCAGTGCTAGATGCCAAGATGGAGAACCCCGAGATGACAGGTCCCGAGGACTTGTTACAAATGATTGGTGCAGAGCCTCTGGCGGGCTTTCTTCAGGCAGCGCAAGGCTTAGTTCCACCGGAGGATGAGGCTTCTCTTGGATCACCACAGGATGATAAGAAGGCGGCGCAGGCGGCAGCAGAGCGAGGCAACCGTCCCCTGCGCACCAAAGTTTCCAACAAGGAGTTTCAAAAATACGACATTGATGTGGACAAGATTCAGCTTGGAAAAGATCCTCGTACAACCACTATGGTCAGAAACATTCCAAACGGATGCAGCCGAAAGAGCTTCCTCCAATTCCTGGAGAAGAATGCCTTGGGGGACAGGTTCACCTTTTTCTACATGCCTTGCAAAGAGCACCGGAATGTCCCTGCTGGCTTTGCATTCATTAACTTTGTCTCTCCGATGGACGTCCTGAAGCTCTTCGTGCTCTTGAAGAAACTTAGTTGGAAGATCTGATGCGGCTTTGATCGCTGCTCAAGACTTTAGCAGACCTAATGTCGACGTTGACTTCAGGACCGGATCGTGGGGCGATTTCATGAAGAACCAATCCAAAGCCCCTGCTCTCAGCTATGCACGATTTCAAGGCCTGAGTTTGAAGCGCGTGCTCTATTCTCGTCATGGTTTTGATTGTTTGCTTCGGCCCTTGTGGGGTGTGCTGGTTGTGCGTAGCTTTGTGGTCCTACAAAACCGCGAAGCCGTCAACTCTGACGGTTTTGTCTGAGCGATGTCGTCAGTGGCAGTGGCAAGTGCAGAGAGATCGCGAACGGTCTCTGCTGGCTCTGCCATGTTGCAGGTCACCAAGAACTCTCAGACCATTTCAGCAGTTCGGCTGTCCTTCATGAGCAGGAAGACTTCGGATGAGATTGCTTGCGATGTTATCGTGTTTTGCGCATCGTTTGCAGCACACGCAGCAGGACCCAGAGAAACGCCCCATCTTCCGCCCCGAGAATCTGGCAAAATCGGAGAACCTGTTCGGGCCTTGGGCCTTGTGAAGTGATTGGTCTGCTTTTCTTGCGGCTCTCTGCTCATCTCTGCTTTGCTGCCGTGCTGCCGTGCTGCCGTGCTGCCGTGCAGCTCTGTCTAAGGACGATCACTCCGCCGGTCCTTCAGATGCCGACATTCCTGCCAGGCATTTCCGGTTGTGCAAGGGCTTGAAAGTGACTGAAGGGATGCACGCTTTCTGTTTTCTTGTTCGCAGAGTAGCCCAAACCAGGCATGTCGACCCTTTAATGTGGGGTTGTGAGGAGAAGAATGCCAATGCTGCAGCGTAGAGTTTGCAGACATTGCAGAGAAAGCATACCCGTGAGCAATTCAGTGACCCCATTATCCTGAAGCTGCTCGTCAGCGGGCAATCGCAAATGGGGCCTTCTAGGGCGAAGAGAGGAAGCCTAGAAAGATCCACATCAAGAGCCAACGTAAATCGACAAGGGACGCAAGGCCAGTCAAATGGTGAGTATAAAGCCGAAACTTACATTGTAGAAGACGATCATGTTAGGCATGAATCCAGCCCCTTTCGTAGTAAATTTAGCTGGCCCATTGGCCCATGTGTAGGTGGCTACGATGACAAGCCTGGCCTCGGAATCTTCGGACCAGGAGACCAGCCGTTTGGCAGCAAACCAGGGAAACGTCGGGAGTCGGGCAAAAGGATGTTGATGACTTTCGACCTGCCACGGAAGGTCACTGGACAAGCTTGGCAACCTCAAGGGCATGCACGAGACGTCTTCCCAGGTTGACAAGGATCCGTGCTTGCCAGTTCCATGTGCGGCTTCCGCTCGCATGGTTGCCCATGCACAGGGCAAAACCAGCGACTTGCCGATGTATCTGAAGCCGGACGACTTGGCCATTGGAGCATGAGCTCAGGCTTCGAGGCGCACAAGGCAGGATGCAGACCTAGTTCCGGCCGCACAGCTGTTCCCGTCAAGATATTCTGGCAGGTTTCTGTCGCAGGTTCCTGATTTAAGTGCGCTTCTCCGACTGAGGAGTTCTGAGGGCTCTATGTTGACATTGCTCGAAAACTTGTCCATGAAAAATGGCATGGGGCAGGCTTCGCTTGTGAGTCCCATTTGTAAGTTCACAACCGCCGGGCGTTTCTCTCAGACCTGAACGCCAGACTCGTACTGAAAAAAAGAAGGCAGTTTGTTGTTGAGTCTCTGTGGGCTTCGTAGGTTGCGTTCGGGCTGGGAACTACCGGAACGAAGTTTTCCGTTTCTGCAAAAAGTGAATTTTCGAGCTACTTGAGCTCAACAGGCTTTGTCGCACTGAGAGGTGAGTGACGCGTGCGCATCGAATAGTTCAACTGACAGCTGCAAAGCAACTCCGAAGACACGATGGGCAGCGGATCCACCTCCTTGTCTGGAAAGTCTGACAGCACTGTTTCAATTGCTCGAGTACGATGCCATCTGGAGAGAGATATGGTTTCGGAGAAAAGGGTGTTGAGAGCAGTGCCTTCTGTGTCATACCCGTAACCATAAGCTCCAGATGGCATTTACCGCCTTGATGTTAGAGGCCGAAGCAAAGCTTCTGCGAGCAGGCAGCAAACTTTCAATGCCATCGCAAAGGGTTGCAGGGGCAGCTGCACGCCGGGTGGAACTTGTCTGCTCGCAAAAAAAACTGGCTTTGGGCACCGCGTGGCCAGCCCTGCCCTCCCGATGGCACAGGCCAAGCACCGGAGGGTGAATTTTAGGCGCCGCGTGATGCCAAGATGCCCGCGAGATGAGAGACTTTGCCTTGGGTGACGCGCGCATGTTGAATTTGGCCATTGTTTCTTTCAGGGCCAAAGCTTTTGGCAAAGTTGGCCCAATGAGGCCTCTTTGGCCAGAGTCGCTCACATGTGCAAAGCACGCTGGAAGCGAGGTCTCAAGGTCTCGAAGCATTCTTGCGTGAGCTGTTTCTCGTACAGTTTGCTCGTAAAGGGCTGTTCAAGCAAAGAGTGAAGGCAGGAGAACTTTACCCGCTTTTGTCGGGCTTAATGCGGCAGCTTGTGCAGTCTTCCCATGTCTTTCCGTCTCGGTGTTAATGTGAAGAAGGCTGCTGCCACACTCGAATCTGTTTCAAAAACATCGCTCGACCCATGGATGCACAAGGTGCTTGTCCAAAAGATGAGTGATGCATTAGGCTACGTCAGGTGACGCCGGTTCTTGCATTGGCATGCAACTTATGCTTCTCCTGCAGTTGGCTCCAGGGCCTGTAAGGAACAGCGTTATGAGAAAGACCCTGGCGATGGTGAAGTCCATCCTCGCCGTTCTGTCGATCTGTGTGGCACAGCCTCAGCAGGCAACGACTGCAAGATACCACGAGCAGCTTCAGGATCATTTCGACTTGGAGAACAACAGCACGTGGCCACAGGCATACTACGTGAATGCTACGTATTGGAAGCCGGGGAGCAGGTCACCTATCTTCCTGTGTGTTGGTGGAGAGGGTCCGCCCCTGGATAGCTCTGTTGTCGTTCGCTCAGTTCATTGCAACCTTGCGGTGGAATGGCTTCGAGAAAAGCAGGCGTTAATGTTCGCTTTGGAGCATCGCTACTACGGTTGCCACAACCGCTCTGCATGTCCCGTAAGCGATCTCGATGCTCCAGACTCTCTGCGGTATCTGTCTTCCCGGCAAGCGGTTGAAGACATTGCTCACTTCGTGAAGGCCATGAAAGCCGAGTACAAGCTGACAGGACGCAATCTGTGGATAACATGGGGTGGGAGCTACCCAGGGATGCTAGCGGGCTGGTCTCGGCTGAAGCATCCCGGCCTCATCCACGCCTCCATTGCATCTTCTGCGCCCGTTTCAGCGACCTACGATATGCCGCAGTACTTGGACCACGTGGCTTATGCCTACACAGTCTCGGAGGAAGGTGTGGGAGGCAGCCTTGCTTGCAGAGACGCAATCAGAAAGGGGCACGAATGGGTCGAACACAGATTCCAAGCAGGCGATCTCAAGGCCATCACAGAGAAGTTTGATCTGCCTGCCGAGAGCCTCTCTTCCCAGGACAGTCGCGTCGCGTTCGCCGCCAGCGGTGTGGCCGACTTTCCTGCCCAGGAAAACGACCCCCTCTGCGCAGAGCCGGGCTGCAATATTGCCAAAGTTTGCGCCATCATGACGAACCAATCGTTGGGCGATGAAGTGCAGCGGCTTGTGCAACTTCGTAAAGTTCAGAATATCTCAGGATTTCCGCAAACAGGCATGCTTCAAGTGAGCAGAGCACTGGGCCGGACTTCATCTTTCCGTGTGGGCCTGCAGGGTGTCTATCGTCAAGAAGCTGAACTCCCAGACTTTTGGTTTTATCAGACATGTAAAGAGTTTGGATTCTACCAGACTTGTGCGGCTGGCGGCGGTTGCATGTTCGTGCGCGGCTTGGCAAATGCGAGCTACTATGCTGCTGGCTGTACGAGGCAGTATAACATCAGCCTTGAGGAGGTCCAGAACAACATAGATGCTACAAACGATCACTATGGCGGCCAGGAGCCGCTTGATGACAAGGGCAAGTTGGGAAGCTGTGTGATGTTTCCCAATGGTCAAGTGGATCCTTGGTCCACGCAGAGTGTGCTCCAGTCCCCGAGCCCAGATCTGCCCGTCTTGATGATTTCGGGAGCTTCGCATCATGCATGGACCTGGCCATCACGGCCCGAAGACCAGGAGAGTGTTCTGGCAGCTCGGACCAGCATCCGGCAACAGGCCGATGCTTTCCTGAGAAAGCCCTGCGAAGATGCCCTGGACAACGGCCACAAGCATCGCGATTTGTGGTGGATCCTGGTCTGCGCTGGTGCAGGCAGCGTTGTGTTTGCTCTCACCATCATCTGTGCCGTGCGACGGTGCCGGAGACCTCAAAGAGAGGGACTGCTAGCATCGAACATTAGTTTGCAGAACAGATAGCAAGCTTCGATGCATCCGGCCAAGGAGCTTGGGCCGTGCAAAGAGTCGCTTTGAATGTCGGTTCGGAGTCTGCTGAGCAAAGCCTCTGTGACTCGGTCTCGTGGAGCCTGGCACAGGCCCTTTCATTTCTCGTGCTGCTGGACATCCTGAGAGCCTGGGGCACTGAGCTAAGCCAAAACGTCACGACTTTTGAAGTTCCCGCATGAGCCCAGCGCAAGGCGATTCTCTCGGCGCCACTGCCTTGGCACGTGAGGCCACATCCAGAAATCTGCAGCTGTGCCATGCCGCCATGTGCTCTTGTTTCCATTTCCCTTTAGCCACGCCGTGGCAGGCTCCCTTCGCGGCAGGGACGCGGGAGGCTGCTGCCGCAAGCGTTTGCACAAGCTGCAAGGGCCGCGTTCTCGGATCCACAAAACGAAGGAGGCGGCCGCGGCACTGGCTGCGTCGTACTGCACACTGATGGCTGGTGCCAGAGAAGGCGATGTGGAAGCACGGACAGAAGTGCCGTGTGCATCCGGATGCTCGTGCCTTAGGCAATGTCACTCTCCAGAAGGAGGTGGAGAAGGCCGGTTGTGGTGCCTCTTCGGTTTAGCTTGTGTTCGAGAGACGCTTTGCGAGTTCGGGTCCCACGCAGGGTGCGTCATGCTTCTGTGACACGTGACATGGCCGCGTATGACTACTATAGTACAGCAAAGCTTCTCCCACTCGTGATCGACCGAATCGGGCCTAGCACAGGAAGACCAGGCTCTGAACTGTTGCTGTCTCGCAGCTTCAAACCATTGCCCCTCGTTTTGCAGTGTTCAACGAACGATGCTCTCCACGGTTGTCGGATCTCGCCTTGAGTCGATTCTCCCTGCGCCTTCGTCGGGTGTAGGCTACATGTTATCGGCCTAGAGCCTAGGGCTGGCTACTAGCTGCATCTACCTATGATCTCCTCTTTGTTGCTTGGATCATTGACTCAGTCTGTATGAGGACAGGTAAAGTGGTTTTGGTTGGAGTTGGGGTAGGATCTTCCAGTCTCGAAACGCGTTCGGTACTGTAAGTTGGCTTCGAAAAGCAATCTGAAGTTGCTGTTTCTTGTCTACCGCCCAGTTACGTCTTGCAGCCAGCTATCTCGAAGCAGGCAACGCTTCCCTGTGCATGGAAACCGTGCCATGTCCCAAGTGATGTTCTGCATGTTGCATAGTCGGGCGGGTGGTCTCTCACCGTACCTTTTGTGGTAACACTTGCTTCGTGCAGTTGCTCCGTTGCCACACGTTATTCCATGCCAGAGAGCACGCCCATGTCGAGTTCCCTTGTGTTCGATGCGCCCGTCGTTCGAAGCGAAACCCTTGTGCTGAGCAGCATGCAGCATCCTTGAAATTGTTGCAAGTGTTGGGTCAGGTTCAGGACATGTGCAGCTCTGAGGCTTGTCATCACATGTCCACGTTTGACGCAGACGGCTCGCCAACGAGGCTCTTCAGCTTGTCGTCAAGTTCTCCGGTGCCATCTCTTGCACAGGCAAGGTGCACTAGATTTTGGCACATTCATGCATGCCCCTGGCCATCAGCCTGAACGGAGACAGGGTGCTGCTTTCATGATCGCCGCGGAAGCAAACATGGCCCAGCACTCTTTACTTGCGTGATCTAGTTCTTCCCCTCCCGGCCGCCGAGGCGACGGGGTCACTTGCTGCTGCAGCACAAGCAGCCAAACGCGCTGTCTCTTGCTACAGGAGCATGCTTGTGCCTTCATGTCTGTGTGGTGCAAGACTGCGGAACTGGATGTGGGAAGCTCTTGAGAGAGATACTCTTGAGCGAAGAGAAAAGCCAACAGAGACGGGCCTGGCAGTCTAATGCAAGGAGCATTGACGATGCCAAGGGACAGGCACGAAGCAGTTTCTTGTAACGGGCGCCCTCGCAGCAGCGCCAGATCGAGGCCGCGGCTCTTCGCTGTCTGGCTCTGGCGAGCCTGGGTTCCCAGCGCCTGGCAGAGGCAGCTGCTGCCTCAGCCCTTGGCCTTCGGAGTCACAAGGAGAGCACATGTTGGGGGCTGGCAAAGCCAGTGTAATGCGGTAACTATCTTGCAGTGCATCTGAAGGCGCAGTCTGCGAAGCTGGCAGCCACTCGAGCGCGCTTCGTGGGAGATGTGCCTGGAGCTTCTCTGGGTGTTGTTACTGGCACAGCCTTGGGGACCTTGAGATTGCTTGGCCGAGATCTCCCATCACTGTCTTACTTTTCGTCTTTGCTGCGTTGGTTTTGGCAGCATTTTGGAGCCAGAGCTGTAGCATTAGTAGCAGCTTGGCTGTACAGGATGGACAGGATGTATGTTCGCAGTGCCTTACCCGTCCATTCCCCGACATCAGCATTTCTCGCAAATTGGCCGATGTGAGACTCGACTACACGGGTCGTCCGCTCTGTTGCTGGATGGTGGGCCTCTGCAAAAGGCTCACTGAGGTAAGTCAGGGCCAACTCAGGCGATCTCTCAACGCACCTCACAGGTTACAGCATTGGCCCAAGGATAATCGGATAATCGCACAGCAAGAACGATAGTGCTGTCCTGACCTCACCACGAGTATGTGGCTTTTGTCCCTACCCTCAGCTCGAAATGAAATCTCTAGAGTTTTGCCGTTGGGATTGCTCCCAGCCGCGTCCGTGGCCTTAGGTGCTCGGCGAGGGCTGCGCCTTGCGTCTTGCGTCAGAGGCAGAGCTTCGCCAGGGCGACACGCAGCAGGCGACGTCGGGATTGGCCAAGTCATCCTGCGTTTAATCAGGCAAAGCACATGGAAGCATGCGAAAGCAGTACGGCACCTGTGATTCGGTCTGCGACTGCGATGTTTGCGAGGCTGCGACCCTTGCGCAGGCAGGGCTGCAGGAGGCCGTATCCAATGCAGTGGAGTTGTCGTGAGAGGACTCCGCAGCTCTCTTCCAAATAAAGGGCGACACCTTCAACCAGGCTCGGAGTTTCCTAGTTTTCTCCATAGCTAGCGCCACTAGCGGTTCTGACTTTCATTTATGTTTTGTGGGATTCTGCAGTTGCACTCACGTTCCCTGTTCATCCCTGCGTTCATCTGCACATCTGGAGCCGGTTGTTGTGGCGGCCTTCACACTTGAGGCTTGATCGGGAAGGATTTGGGTCCACACCTTCCTCTTAGAGGACAATGAAGGGGACGGGAGGACTGTTCTCGATGGTTGGCAGTTATTCTTTCGTTGTCGGCGGACATTTGTTGTTGACAATCCCAGTACGATTACATGGGGTTGAATTGACAAAAAAACGCGGTCTCGTTGGCTTTCGGGCGAAAGAAACTGGGACCGGTAGCTGTTTAGAGATTCATGCACCTGCTTACGCACGACGTCTTGAGCATGGTCTTGATTCTGCTTCCGCTCCTTCCTACACAGCACTGCCGCACTGGGCTGTGCTGGGTTCCCCGCAGCGCAGGCAGATGCTTTGTTGAGTGCCGCGGCAGCACTCTGCCTTCGTGCCCAACAGCGAAAGGCGGGTTCGGGTTTGCGTGTACGTCCTGCGCAGAAGTGAAATCACCCTGAACGCACGATGTGCTCAAGGCGAACGCCCAGCGCAGCTCACTGGAGTCTTGGGCCGGGGCCTCTGGGGGATTTTTCTGAAAGCAACGGCCTTTCTGCTTTGGCCTCGGCGAGGCTTTCCAAGCTTCTGCACTCGCCGACAAAGTCTTGACGATGCAGTGCCAGGGCACGCTGGAGGCCAAAGGGAGGTAAGCAGCTCGATCAGGTCACATGATTACCGTAGCTGTCTCAAGACCACAGGTGGATGCACTGCTCGCTCGGTCCTGGGCAGCGACCGTGGTGGGTCCCAGCGCGGGACCGGGACAGTCTGAGCAGGAACGGCGCTTAATTTGGCGAATCTGCAGAGTGTCCGTTTCCATACCTCGCAGGCCTTGGAGGATGCCCAGAAAGCGGAGAGACTTGCGATCGATATCTCCGACAGAAGACGGGTGGCTTGGCCCAGGAGCTTCAGCATATCAGCACGGATAGGGAGACTGCAGCACAACAGCACAGATCGGCAAGCTGTAAGTAACGGAGGATGCAGGGCAAGATTCCTGAGGTGGCAGCTGCACGGGTTGCTCGAGCTCAGGTTCGTGAGAAGTGCCGTTGCATGCAACATGATTCGTCATGCTGCGGCCAGTTGTTCAGATGCTATGAGACAGTGACGCGCACTATCTCCATGCAGCCTCGAAGGCTCGAGTTGACAACGACTGTCCAAGGCCAAGGCTTCGCAAATCGGCTTGCCAGAGCCCTACAGGCTATTCCGGGCGCCATGTTGTTCTTGGAAATGGTTGGCATGGTCCTGTCCTTCCTGGTGGCCTTGGACACATGCTGGGCACGGAGGAAGGGGTTGCTCATGCTCGGCCTGAAGAAGCCACAGGCGTTGAAGCCGAGCATGGCGGTGCCGGGCTCGCGGAGCAGCCCGAGATTTTCTTTCAAGAGCATGGTGTGGGCCATGACACTTGGTGGGTCCGTGACCCTGAGACTGGTCTGCGCTTTGCGGCTCAGTGAGTTCCATGCGACTGTGGGAAGTACTCTTGCGGCAAGCTGCTGGGTTTCGGCTTGGAGCTCCTTGCTGTCCTGCCTTTGTCTATACCCTTTTCTTCCCAGGGCGACTTGGGCGACTGCAGAGCTTGGGGAGCTTACAGAGCTTGCGACAGTTGTCGGGGCTCTCTCGCTCCCTGCATTTCTAGCCGTCGCTGCCATGGACTTGTTTGGCTTGGGATTTGCGCAGATGATGTTGTTGCTAGTCGCTGTTTCGAGTGGTGCCCTCATGGCGGATTCTGAAGAAGTTCGGAAACAGAGTTTGAAGATCTTGGTGCTGGCTCTTGTAGCCGGTCTGCTGGCAGTAGGCCATGGTTGGCCATCATCGAGGGACGACGTGTCCAAATACTCTGGCCCCATAGTCGCGCTGTTGGTTGCTGGCGTGTCTGCTGTCGTGCAAGCCGGTGTTGTCGTAGACCAAGCAATGCCAGCTACGACAGCGAAGGCATGCGAGCTGTCGTGCCACTTCGCTAGCGCCATGGCTCACATGCCGTTTCTGCTGGTGTTTATCCTTTCGGGGGATTCATTCAAGCTGCCGCGACTGGCCGACGCGCACTTCTGGGTCTTCATCGCCGCACAGGGTGTCTTCTACATGCGCAGCCTTCGGCCGCTCACGATAGCGTTGGGGCGCGCCCGGCCCTCGGCTAGCTTTGAAGTTGTTGGTGACGGCGCCTGTACGCGCCTATGCGTTTTTGCAGGTTTCATGGTATTGGGGTGGGGGGGGGGGGGGGGGGGGGGGGGGGGGGGGGGGGGGGGGGGGGGGGGGGGGGGGGGGGAAAGAACGTCATTCATATTGCGCCCATGCGCAGAACACCGGTATTTGCAACGTTTTTCGCCTCTTTGTACAACTAAACATAAACCCAATCCTGAACCCTAAGTCTAACCTAAGACCTAGGACAAGTCAATACTTTAAGCAAAAACTCTCTCTCAAATAAAGTTTTGTTCTGCAGCCTCTTCAAAAATGAGCTTAAAACCCGAGCGAAAACGCAGTTAGGCCCAAAGTTTACTCCAGCCTCTAGTGTTTCGCGCACCTGCCTGAACCATAATTTCTGTTCTCGCTGTGGTTTCGCGCGCATCCATGCAAAACGCCTCATTCTGAAATCCCTAAAAACGCATAGGCGCGTACAGGCGCCGTCACCAAGTTGTTGATGTGTAATGAGTAGCTGTCGCACGCAGTCTCAGCCATCTCAGGCAAGCACTCTGAGTCTCGTCCTTCTGGGGCAACTCCTGACCACTTTCATGATGGACGCACTGCTCCAGGATGCGATCCCGGCACGGCTGCTGAACGTCTCCCTGGTCCTGTTCGGAGTTCTCTTGACCGGAGGAGTAAGCGAGGCCATAAGGTCAAGAGTCAAGACTTTGCCAGTTTGCTGTGCATAGCATACATTGGCATACATTGGCAAGGGGTCATTTGCAGATGCATGTCCTCAGCTCTGGAGGCCACCGTACAGTTCGAGGAGCCCGTTCGCAACACGCTGAACTTCAACTTCGTCGAATGCGATGGCAATGCAAATCAAGCAGTCTAGGACTGCAGGGTCAGCGATTTCATTCATGTAGTTCGGTAGTACGCGGGCATGCCGAAGGCATACGCGAATCAAGGCGATTTTTCCGTGAATCGCCAGAAGCTTTGGCAGTGGCTATGCGCAGCTGACTTTTCAGCTTCGCAACAATGCCTGCTGCAGTCGAAGGTCATGTGTACAGCTACTCAGTTTGGTGCAGCTCGCAGCTTGTTGCGAGGCGCGCTTGCGAGTCAATTGCCACTTGCAGCACCGCGTCGGCTTTGCAATGCCAGAAGGAGCGGATGGCATGCCAGCGTGGCAGCACCGCAAATGCACATGCAGAAGCGTGCTCATCCACAGCATGCTAAAGCTGCTAAGACTGGTGCTTCTTTGAATTTCAGTTTGCATGGACAGGCTTTGGTGGTACAAAGCGAGGATGCCTTAGCTTTGGATATGTTGAACGAGGCCAGGGTGGCTGAAGTAGTGAGCCCAATCCTCCTAGTCGCGCGGTCGCGCGTGTGCAGTGCCAGGCCCACAGCCTTTTTCAGAGAGCAGGAGACGCCGATGGCGCCAGATTTGCTGCCCGATGCGCAGCCTCTTTTGCAACTGTGCAGATTTTTGTGTGTGGATGCATCAACCAGCCTGAACACGGTTTCGATGAACCGTCTTGGGAGTGCGTATGTTAGCTGAAATGTTCGGAAGCTGAGGCCACATACATGTCAGGCGCAGGAGGAGGAGGAGCTTCAAAGGCCCCTGCCAGTCAGATTCTGTCATGGGTCTGACGACAGTGACGAATGCTGCCGTTCGCAGGCAAGTTCCAAGCCAGAAGATCATGTGTACGCCGGGTGCGTGCCTCCCCTCAACGAGTGATTGATGAAGCTTCCTGGTAACTAGCTGCGGCCGTTTTCAAAGAGATTCATGAGTGGTGCAGATCTCGCGCGAGCAAGGCCACATGGGAGGGTTTGGCCAAGCAGCCAGACCAATGGTGGGCGGATCACATCCACTTTCAGTTTGCAGGTGCGAGGCCAAGTGACCACAGATCTGTTACAAAGCCTGATTCAATCCGACCCTCCGAGACTCGATATGGATGTGACTAAGATTCGCATGTCCTTACAGGCGAGCTGCAGCCTTGCAGACTTGACCTGACCACACTGTCGGAGGGAGTGCTCGCGCAGCGTCCAACTCGTTGCGGGACAGAGCTCGTGGCCGTTCTGTACGATCGTGAGCAGTGATGCCTTCAGAATATTTCGGAATCTAGGCCATGGGCATTGTGGGTTGTAGCCGGTTCCACGGCCGTACCCAGCGTGTTTACCAGCTGCCTCTTCGTGAAAGTAACCCCCGGACATGAACAATTCACGAGTAATCTTACTCCCTGTGTTGCCCACTGCATTTGTTCTCTGCAGCTGTGATTTGTTGATGCTCGCAGGCAACATCCCGAGGTAGAAATGCGGGAGCCATGATCTCCGAGTCAATCGAGGCAAAACCTGTGAACAAGCAGTCCGTTTTTGCTCTCGCAGCAGACGCCTCGCGATCGCTGACCACAACAACCAGCATCTGGGATGAGTACAACATAGTCGAAGAGCTTGGATGCGGAACTTTCGGTGTAGTCCGTTCGGTGACTCATCGGGACAGCAAGAAGTCTTACGCCGCCAAGACCGTGCGGCGGACGGAGAAAGCCGAGCCAGAGATGCTGATGGTTTCGTTGGAACATCCCCACATCCTGCAGCTACGTCACATCATGGAGGACGGCGGCGAGCGACACCTTATCTTGGACCTTTGCACCGGTGGCGACCTCGAGAAATGGTACTTCGGCTTAGAAACGCATCTTTCCCCATGGCTCTGTGGTAATCTGTCGCCCAGGTCAAAACCGCGTTTAGAAGCTCATTTTGTGGTTTTGTGGCTGTGGCATTGTGCAAGTTGGGGGGCGAGGGCCAGCACCCTTCAGGGATTGCGGTGTAAGGGTTCAGGATTCAGAGTTCTTTCAGAGCTGCTGTAGGAGCTAAATAGTGGTAGATTCACAGCAAGGTAGGAGGCTCTCCAAACATCCAAAGGTTTGGGGTTTATAGGGCTTGTACGGCTGAGGTTTAGCTGTTTAAGCAAAACGGACATGGCAGCGGCATTGGGATACGTGTCGTCTCGACACAACAAGATCGGCCCTAGTTTCTAGCAGCAGTTTTCAGGGCAGTTCGCAGCATGGCGACTTTTGCGCAGGTTGACTTCAACAGTATCAATTATCGCTTCATTGCGCATGCATCTGCCTAGCTGTTGCACTATTGCACCTTGTGACAAGATACATGTCTACGCCGTGAGCCATAGCGAACCTTCTGGTTACATTTTGCGGCGCCGTCCGGGGTCGTACGGGGTGTATTGGCATTTCGGGCCGGTGTATGCCAATCAGATTTCTGTTTCTTTTGGAAGTCAAATTCGTAACAACGGTCAGCATGTAACAGATTTAGCAACGACAGTGGGTTGCCGCGAACTTTGTTAGGCATTGCTGACATTTTGTCCCAATAGATTCGATGGGCGAGTCGCCCCACGCCTTTCCTGCTATGCTTCCTTCCCGTAGCCTTCGTGGCCCTCAACACAAGTTCTACTAGAATCACTAGAACTTGCCTGGCCTCGTTCCGAGGATAGAGGATCGGTACGACGAAGACTTCGAAGGCACACGCTTCTACGACCAGCCAAGCACTTCGGCTCAAGGCTGGTGCTTTTCAATACTCACATACGACGAAGCATATTTCTCCTCTGAGGCACTTCCACGGTGCTCGGTTTGGCTGAGCAGATGTTCTCTGCCATTGCCTATCTGCACGAGAGATCAGTGGTGCACCGGGATGTGAAGCCTCCAAACTGGATGTTGGCTTGCCGGAGCCTATTCCCAAAGTTGAAGCTTTCGGACTTTGGGCTGGCCTGCGAGTGCCAGTCCGGGGAGGTGATGAAGGAGAAATGCGGCTCGCCCCCTTACATGGCTCCGGAAGTTTTTGAGTGCTCGTATACTTCCTTGTGCGATGTTTGGAGCACTGGTCTCGTCGTGCATGATGTTGCCGTGGGCACCCCATTGTTCCACAAAATTCCGGAGCCTCAGTTGGAGGAACACGTCTGCGGACTGATAGAGCTGACATCGCCGACGTGGCGCTATCATAAGCCTTTTTTGAAGGCCTTCGTTGTGGAGCTTCTGCGGCGCGAGACACAGGGCCGACCCTCTTCCCTAGAGGCCCTCCAGAATGCTAGACAGCATGGGGCAAAATGCTGCTGCATCGTCTCATGAAGGGCTGCACAACTGCCAAGGACAGGATTACGCCGGGTTCGATTGCACCCACTACCACTACAGTATCAATAAGACTGTTCTAGCTGAAGACATGCATGTATCAAAGCGATCGATCGGAACTGGACTTGGCGAGTCCTCCGTCTAAGATGTGATGGACAATCTGCACCGTTTAGTTTCTCTGCTGTGCGTTTGCAATCACACTCATTTGGCCATGGGGCCGTTAAAGAGGTGTCGCCAAACTGTTTTGAGAGATCGCTGCGCAGAAAAGCTGCGCCCGAAGCCAATGTGGGGGCTTTTGATCGACTCAGCGATGCATGGTGCTCTCTTCGCATCTGGCAGGTCTCCAAGGGAGGCCAGTGGCAAACACAGTGAAGAGAAAGTGAGGTGCAGAAAGCGGCGATTTGGGTTTTGCATTAGCATCCTCCGGCCGTGTCTCATGCCGTTCTGCAGCAGCATGCGCAGACGATACTGCAGACAATGTGGGCTCAAGATGAGAATCAGCAGCGAACCGCAGTCGTGAGTTTCATTGCAGAGAAGTAAGGTGAGTCGAGCTGCGCCCATCTGTGCCTTTAGCTCATGTGTGAACAGGCGGAGGCTGCGGGCCAGGCCTGGACCTGCACAGCTCGGTGCCTTTGGGGGTGTGGCCATGGGGCCAAGGGGGCCGAAGGGGCCGAAGGGGAAGGCGGCGAAGGCGGCGAGGGCTTCGCTGCTCTGCCTCTGCTTGCTCCTTGAAGCGGAAGCGCAGGCTTTGGATCTTGGAGCAGCTGAGACGCAGCTGGCACCTTGTGCAGAGCTGCTTCTCGAACGCAATGGCCAGAGCGATGAGCTGATGGCTTGCCGCGTTCCCCTGCTTGGCTCGCTTCATAACGACCAGATTCCTGGGTACAGATACAATGTCACAGAAGACTGCCACTTCTGGGCAAGCTATGCAGCCAGGGATCGTCACGTCGAGGGCTCGAGCATTCTGGACTTCACTCGATTGGCGGCATTCCGCTTAAATTCTCCGTTTATCCCTCCCCTGCAGCAGAATGGCACTGCCCTCTACATCGGTGCCCATCGTTCGGGAGACGACGGCCTGGTGTTCCAGCGTCGACATGGGTTGCAGATGCACTTGTTTGAACCTTCTCCGACATACTTCCACATGCTGAGAGACTCCTTGGCCGGAGCCCCTGGCTTCATTCTTCACAACTATGGCCTGGGTTCAAAGACCCGCCGGGCACTTCTGCGCCTGAGTGGGACTGCATCTCGAATCGTGAACATGACTCATACGGGTGCAGACCTGGAGGATGACCTGGAGGACGAACTCGACGAAGGAGGGGATCCAGAAGGCACCGAAACGGTATGGATTCGTTCAGCTGCCGAAGCGATTCCAGAGGTTTTGGCAGAGGATAGGACAGGCTTTGTGGAGTTGCTTCATGTGAACTGTGAAGGTTGCGAGTATGATGTTGTGCAGGGCCTCAGCCAGACGGGACAGCTCTTTAGAGTTGGTCAGATTCAGCTCGCTACGCACCTGTTGGAGTATACCGGGCCTGCATCCGATTTTCAGGAGGCGCTCTCCTTGTCTTTGCAGATCTCTGTTAAGCGCTATTGCGAAATGCACCAGACACTTTCACTCACACATGATCGTGCGTGGGGTTTGCCCTGGGTCTGGGAGCGGTGGACACGCCGTGATGTAAGAAAAGCGCTCTGCAGTCGAGAGGGCAGCATTGCTGTGCATTTGGGGCCCACGACTTGACTGGTGGCCCTTGGGCTCTGCTCAGCTTTGCTTAGATGTGCCTACATACAAGGCAGTGTCAACCCATACTCAGCTCGACCACGACCATGACAAAACTAAGAGCATCTGAAGTCCCCAAGCTCTGCGATGCTATGGCCGCGATGGGCTACCCAGAGCAAGGCCGAGTGTCACGTGTCACATCGTGTCGCAATCTCGCACGGAACGGAATTCGGTCGTTTGAGGACCTGAGCTTCGAGCCGAGCTCGCCAAGGAAGATTCACAGCCGCCTGCACCCCGAAACTCGTCAAGGAAGGTCCCAGGCAGATTTGAACAGCTCGGAACCAGGCTGCCTGTGTTCCGCCTGCGGGATGTGCCGATGCAGCCGCAGAGCGGGAGCTTTCAGGCATGAGCTGAAGATGACCACTAAGTGGATGTCTGCCGCGACTGCCACTTGTGATGTGCTTTCGTGTCGATCTCTGCTGCACGCACACAGGTCGTGGATGCGCAGAATCTTTCAGCCATGCCGCAGCAAGTTTTGCCTAAGCGCAGCCTGCAGGTAGGACTCGATCCAAGTTTGGATGGAACCCGTGCCGGAATGACGGGAGCCAGTGGTGGATACCAGGTTGGCTTCCAGCTGACGCCGCTGAGCGTAGACGGCAGTCTGGATGCAGCAGACTTCAAGGGCGGGCCGCACCCTGTTGAGAAAGATCCAATTTACAAGCTCTGTGTGGATAACCGCGACTCCGGAAACAAGATGGTCCAAGAGGGCAAAATTGAGGAGGCCATTGCCCGATACTCCGAGTTAATCATGCAATCGCGGGCCCTTGAAAATGAGCCTGATGTCCAGTGGACGGACGAGGGTCGCGACTTGGTTCGACATCTGCGGGCAGCTGCCTACTTAAATCTGTCGTTGTGCTTCCTGAAATCGAAGCAGTGGCAGCACGCCATCAACACGGCCACGCGGGCTCTCCAAGGGGACAAGGACCCGCCGGAGCCCAAAGAGAACGTTCTTCTTCCGGAGAAGAAAGCAAAAGCGCTTTACCGGCGTGCAGTGGCTCTGAGGGATGGGTTCGACAAGCTCGATGAGGCAGTGAAAGACTTGAAGAAGGCGTTGGAATACGTGCCTGAAGACAAGAACGTACAGCTCGAGCTGCAGAGAACCAACCAGGCCCTAGCCAAGGAGAAGAAAAAATCTGACAAAAAGCTAGCAGGCTTTCTGTCTTCCCAGTCTCAAGGCGGCATTTTCTCGGAATCCGATCGCCAAAGGGACACCAAAGGACCTGAGCTGCCCAGCGAGCCCGTGAAAGTATCGGATGGGCTATGGGTTGTCCCAAAGGAGGAGAAGGCCGGAAGGTTGGGGCCTGGTCGGGGAAGGTCGGGGCCTGGTCGGGGCCATGGCTTTGTCCCTGAGTTCAGGAGGCCGAAGAGGGCGTCCAGGAAGCCAAGGAGGCTGGGATCGATCTGGACGAGCTCGGTCGCGCCACTTTGATGCCATAGACTGCCGTAGACTCTAGACTCTCGCCTGTGACGAAGGCGAGTCTTGTGAGGACTCGCCTACCAAGAAGCTTCAATGAAAATCAAAAAATGCCAGTCTTATTGCTATAGCTACAAATTTAGCGCTATCAGTTCCTCTCACCAGCTCTTGCCGACGAGCTTTCGTCGAGCCTGCCCAAGTGCTGAGGAGATCAACGAGCTGAGGGAGGACAAGCCTGAAGTCTTCAACGAGTTGCCAGTCAGAAAGACAGTGGAATGAAATGACTCGAAAGTTTTGCGAGTTGTCTGTTCGTCTGCGGTTGCAATCCAAGCACACTCCAAATGCACGGGGAAACTGGGAAATGGCAAGAGAGCCGAGTGTTGAAGAGATTGCCAGCGGACTGTCAGTTTTTAATTGAAGCAGTGGCCAGCAGCCGAGATATAGTAGGTGGATTGCAGAGTAGCTCAGCACATGCTTGTGATGCTGGAGCATTCATCTCAAGTGTCCTGCTGGGTCTCAAGTGCTGGTAGGAATGTTGCACTGGCTTGTAAGTGCGATGTTGAAGTCAACCAGCATTGGGCCCGCTTGGTTGCGCTGCCTACTGTCACTGATGTTCCAGGGTGCATCGGATGCCTCGACGAATCGAGCCGATGTCAGTAGCCATCCTGTATCTGATCCTGGCTAGAACGGTTTGATTTACTGCATATCATTAGGATGGACAGACCTCTTGGACGAAAGGCCCTACAGTCACGAAAGACCCTACAGTGACAACGAGGGAGAAGAAGAACGAGACGCCGCGGCCCGCGGCCCTTCATGATGGCTCCTGTGATGTTGAGTGGATGGCAGAATCCCAGCTCCTCAAGCACTGCTGTCTCTTCGGACTACTGTCGTTTCCAGGCTCCGGGACAAGATGAAGACCTTGATCGAGGACAGCCGCTACGGGGATGGGTCGGGGGTGTTGGTAGGTCTTCATCGAGGAGGATAACAGATAGAGAACGACTCCGTGGTGCCTTTCGGGCTCTTTGTGATGCAGTTCCCTACATCCGGGGAGATGAATCGGCAAATGTTCTCAAATCTCACGGACGCATCGGAAACTTCTTTGGCTTCTGCCCAAGATTCCGATCCTGGTTTCTAGAAAGACTAGGATGGGTCGCAAAAACTGTCTCGATTCCGGCGATGGCTCCGACCCAAGATTTTCGGCGTGTCTTGCTTCTTCAGGCTTGGTGTCATGTTTGTGTCAAGGACTCGGTCACACTTTCTAAATTTTGAACCGCCGGCTTGATATGTAGCACCGTGCCGTCGATCTTCGGCTTGTCGTGTTCTGTTCCGGTGACTGACCGCGAGTTGCCTTGTGGGACATCCCGGCTGATGCACCGGTTGTCAGGATTGTGTGGGGCGATGTTTTGAAGATTAGCGAAAGAGCGAGGACATGTTTGCTTTCCGCGCTTTCCAAGTTGCCAGGTTTTGTGGGAAGAATAGGCTTTCATCCCTGCCTCGGCCTGTGGTGTAGTGACTGCTTGCCGCACAAGAAGATGCACCGCACCACAGGAGGAGGTGGTCAAGAAGGAGCAGACTTCTGGTGCAGCCGAAGCAGTGGCGGCTTAATCTGTTTCACAGCCGGGGCCTCAACGTGTTGTGGGTTCAGTGAAGCGAGCTGCTGAGCTTGCCCAAGCTGCAGCATGTAGAATCAAGTTGAGGATCCGTGATGGTGCCTTGAAGTGCTCAGGTGACGCCTTTGCTGTAACTCCCGACTCCGAGAAGACAGTGCTGAGATTCTGAGAGTGTCCAAGCTGCGATAGGAAAGGATTGAAGTTAACGTCTCGTGCCTCTGCAGGCAGTCACCATCGAACCGTTTCACCTTGCGCTTGCCAGTGCAAACTTTTAAGTTGGCCGGGCAGTGCCTGAAGTTCTGCAGTGGGAGCGGAGTAGCAGTGGCAAGTCTTGCCTCCACTCCGAGTCCAGTTTTCAGCAGAGCCAAAGACCATCCCGACGATGCCAGGCAAAGAAGCCCGTGCCACCCGAATTCGGGTTGGGGGAGCGGGGGGGTCTGCGTTGCGGATTGCAGGCTCTGAGATGGCGGCACTACACCAGCACGGTTCAGCTCTACTGGACCCTTGGGGATGGCTGGGTGGGAGAAGGTTGGGAAGGCAGGGCCGAAGGGCTGAAGAGCCGAAGGGTTTCAGGGGGAGGGGGCGAAAGCTCAGAACGGACCTGCCTGGCAGGTCTTCAGGATGCCGACTTCGAGGCCAACATCGTTCCTAGCTGATTCTAGCTTGCTTTGACAGCGCGAGGTGCGAGTCGCTGCCTCCGAGCTGGTGGTGCGATGCTTGGCCGGACCGCGCAAGAGCGAAGTTCCTTCCTCAGCTGTGAATGGAGAAGCCTTCCTTTCTTCGAGTCATCCCCGGCAGGTCCTGGGGTCTTTGAGCGGGAGGCTGGCGAACGAGGCTCCACAGACTGCAAAGCTCTGTGTTCGCTTCAGGCTTAAGTTCAGGGACATCGAAAAGGGTTGTTGCATTTATGCCAATAATGGGCCAATAACCTAATGCTGGAACGACTAACTCCAAGACGCGTTCTTGAAGTCCTCCTTTTGCGGCGCGTGAAAGGGGATTCGAAGGATTGAAACGCACGCTTCCAAATCTGCACCGATCTTCAGTGAGTGTCTGGTGCTGCGGAGTGCAAGCCCGAGTACCGGGCGGCAGTGCACCAGACGATGGGATACATGTCCGGCAGCAATCACATTCGTCAAGAGGAGCGGAATTATCGCTCGAGCTGACAGGTGGAGCCAGGGAGGTGTTGGTTTGCTGTGGAGAGGGCAGCGGCCTTAATGCAGGCCTTTGCCACGATGGGATCCTTGAATTTTCGTGCAGAGCTGTGCTGCCACTTCGCAGTACCGCTGAGCTGCTACCACTGAGGATGTTCGCGACCCGCGGAGGCAGCGAAGACATTTGGTCATTGAGCTCGCCTGCTTCCCACGGGTAGAATCCCGCAAAACGGACGTGAAGCAAGATGTGAAATGAATAAATTCGCAGCTTCTTTGTAGGGTTCACGCTGCCGCTTCCAAGCGCATGCCCTGATGCCGTCTGAGGCCAAGAAGAGCCCTGGCAGACCTTGGACAGTTCAGGGCTCAGCTCTTCCTTCAGGTTGCTGTAAGAAGAATTCCATCTTGGAGGAGAGGCAGATCTTCAAAGATCGCTCCGAGATGTTCAACCGCAGGCTTCGCCCCGTCTCTCGGTTTCTTGCGTTAATCGCAGCCCTGCGCGTAGGTCCTTTGCTTGGACGCCGCAGCAGAAAGAGCAGGAAAGCCAGAAACCCAAAGCGGAAGAGCTCTCCGCTTCGGTTGAGTACTCTAGAGTTGTAGAACCCCTGCAAGCGCTTAAGAAGCTTGCTGTGCTGCTTCGAGGTGAGAGCTCCTGGACAACGCTGAAGCCCGGGAGAAGACCCGATGTACAGGAGAAGAGCACCAAGCCATTCGTGTGAGATTTTTTTCCGAGAAGTCTTTCCGCAGCTCCATGCTTCCACACCGCTTCTTTCAGAGGATCCTTTTGTCACTTCGAGAAGTTGGCTTTGCCACGAACTACAGCAGCTCAGCGTTGCATGTTGTCGTCAGAGACTGTAGTAGGATGCGGATAACGCACCGGAGGCAGGGCCAAAGCGCTCAACATCTGTATTTCCGTATCATCCTCGATCAGCGCTGCCCTCAGATGTGCTGCACCGGGCGCAACTAGGCCCTGGGCCGCTGGCCATGAGGAAAAAACTGGACGAAGCCTTGGAGAAAGTTCCGTACTTCAGGCAACGTGACTCTTCTCGCTCTTCACCTTGCAACTCTTTTCTTGCACTCAGCCCGGCTTCTCCCTGAAGGCTTTTTGGAGTTGACGTGTCGGAGCGCTTCTTCAAGCTGTTCATCCGCGGGGATGAGTGCGACTTCCCAGATCCCTTCATGCTTGTCGAATTCCTCTCATCACATCATGTCAAGGTCAAGCCCCATCATGCTGGGAGAGCTTGGAGGACCACACTTTGGCAGATTTGTGGGAAAGCTGCAGCGTGACTCCAGAGGAGCTGTTGTTCCTGATGAGACGGAAGTGGAGCTGACAACCGTCACCCGAGAGGCCATTTGATGCGGAGTAGCTTTTCATGTTTGCTGGAACTATGCCTGTGTTCCTCTAAGGTCTCTGGGCACCGAATCCGTGGTACCATGGAAACCCTGCCCTGCAGCGAGCTGAGGCGACTGTTGACACAACCTCGGCAGTCTCGTCCCGCCTAAGGCTTGGATGTAACGCTGAGAAAAGATCCAGAGTCCCACGGAGAGTGGGAGGCCTTCATCCATTCCGACGAGCAGGCCCGCCTTCGTTCCTGTTTCATCTTTGAAAGCGTGAGAGCTCGTGAGCAGTCTCACGTGCTGTTGGCGCCGGTAGCTCAACGGAAAAGGGATAATCGGCCTTAGGAATGTCTACCCTAAGTCATCCTAGTTCCGAAGATCGGAAGGGAGCTTTCCACGACTCCGTAGAGAAATGTTCAGCTTTGGACGTGCGAATCGAGGATGTTCCGAACTGCAGACGTGCAGAACTGAAGTAGACTGTACTCCGTGTCCTGACGATTGCTGACGTCTCTCTTTTCACACGTCTATGCTTGCGAACAAAGCTCTTGTTGCGAAGGTGTTGAACAAACCACAGGGCACCCTGGAGGAATTCGAGGCGCAGCATGGAATGGCTCCCGCACACCAGATGCTTTTTGTACATGGCTGCAGGTCCGCCAGCGCAGGCCCGGCCGGCACTCAACTTGTGTCACGCGAGGTGTCACGGAGAACTAAAGCCAAGGAGAGACCCATCTCCAGACCGGTCAGATTGGACGCCTGACGCAGTGCTCCAAGACAGCATGAAAGATATGCGAGCCATCGCTTCAATGACCCGACGAGGACTTTGCCGACGAGCAGAAGGACAAGGCCGATGCTGCTTTCAAAGAAGGCATCTATCGCCCTTGACCCAGATGTCCTCGCCGTCGTAGCAGTCCTGCCAGTAGCGGTAGCGGACCATCGAGAACCGGAGTCATGCGATGCTTCAAAGCATGTGCTGTCGCAGCGTGTTGTGAGGTGACGCCATCGTCTACTACACCAGAGCGCTGCGACACACACCCCGGAACGAGAGGCCTGACCATGCCGACGGGCTGTTGCCCTGACCCGAAACATGTCATGTAAGACTTGGCAAGGTTGCTGTCAAATCGCAGTTCAGAGCCCAGAAGCAGAAGGAGCTGCAGTTGTTGGATGTCCGCGCATGTCCAGCTCATTGCCCAGGCGCTGCATACTGCAAGATCTCCAAGTACCAGCTTGCTCTGGACTGTTGGCGTAGTTGATCTAGATGTTGCTGACTGCATGTGTCCTAGAACGTAGAATGAGCTTGCTTCGAACCAGGACGATGTAAACCTTGCCATGGAGATTGAGCCTTCCTGGCGCTGTTCTCAGCTGCCAGAGCTGTAGAGGCATTGCGGAAGTTCTGGCTATGCCATTTTGTGTCAGGCCTAAGCTGCACTATCGGAAGGGCCAGGCGTTCGGACTCAGATCCTTTGGGTTTTGGGCTGCGTGCATCTGCATCCTCTGCTGCCCTAGGCGCTGCGTGGCCTTCGCCGCTGGGACGAGGCTTGGGCCTGTGGCATTTGCTAGGCGGCCGCAGGGCCGCGCGGCGGCCGTGTCAGGCCGTGGCAGCCTTCGAAGAAGGGCGGGACTTGGATCCTCAGAGCCCCGACTGGGACAAAGAGGCGCACGCGCGCGCTTTCGGCTGCTCGAACGGTGCCGCATTCTCTGCGACTTGTCAGGTGAACCGAACGAGAGCCGCCAAAGAGCTGAAAGAAGCCTCCTCGTTGCAAAAGGCTAAAAACTGATCCTTCAGAGGGTTGTAAGTGTACGGACAGTGCCGTGGCCTACTTAGTCTAAGTACTCTTCTGACCGTCCCAGAAGTCGTATCCAAGTCGTAGTTCTTTGTAGAACACCTTCCTAGTGGTTTGAGGATGGTTGTCTTGTACCTAAAGGAGCTAGCGAGGATGTGGAAGAGAAGGGCACGGTCTAGAGGGGAGCACCCAGAAGGAAACCCGAAAATTGCAAGCTCGCATTGTCTCACGGTGCTTTCTGGAGAAGTTATGAAAGATGATCAAGGACTTTTATTTGATTTTCATGACTTGGTGCACTGGGCAAGTTGTGAAAGTTTTCTATGTGTTGGGGAAGTGTTTGTGCATGTCTCGGTGTGCTAGGCACCGCGGTCAGCACAGCGCTTTCAACAAGCCCCTAGAGCAAACCCGCGCGACCTCACCAGCCAATGTGTGCATCAGTACTTGCCGGTGCATCAAAAAGCAGTATTCAAAATGCGCAGCGCATGTGCTGTTTCGCTAGTTTCCAGTTTCCCAGGGCTTCTGGACTGGAAGCTCCCCCTAATCCGTCCGCTTCTCTTCCACGCCCCCGACAAATCATGAAGCAATCTTCAAATGGAGACATAATGGAACATCGTGCAGTCATGAGACAAAGACCTACCGTTCTACAAGTCTGATAGTAGCAGCTTGAGTAGCTGTTTGAGGAGCACTTTACTTTTGCTGTAGGACCCGTGGTCAAGATTTCATTGCAACAAAGACATGAAATCGTGCCTGGTCAGCGTGGCCTGGCACTCGCAGAAAGTTTTGAGCCCAGAAGACTTGTAGTGGGTTGAGACTGCAGCTCCCAGCGGCTCAGACGAAAAGACTGGGCTCTTGCGTTGTGAGGCTTCGCAGCAAAAGCTGTTTACATGCTTGACTTGCATGTGCAGCTTTGAGCGAACGCACTGGCAGCCCACGCGGCTCAGACACGTGCGCTGCCACAGAGAGGAGACGTCAAGGCAGCCAGCCAATATTGTTTGCACGTGCCTGCCGTGCCTGAGTCGTGCCTGCTAGCATGCTGCAAGCATTGTTTGGGGCTGGGTCCGAGCAGGCTCGCCTACATCAGTATCAGTGAAGAGCGTGCCGCTTTGCTTAGTTGGGAAGCCAGCTGCTCAGCAAAGGCATGCCATGTTTGGCAAGACACCTTTTGGCTATTCGGCACTGAGGTCGCGGCGCGGGAGTCTCACCGCCAGAAGCTGCTAGCAGAAGGTCACAGCCACGAGTTGAAGAGCTTCCACCAGATCACCAGCTAAAGCTTCAGCTTCAGACCCTAGAGAGAGAGCCAGAGCTTAAGTTAAGAGCTGATCGCGCTGAGCCCTGCGAGCTGTCCTTCCCCTTCCCCTGGCCACAAGAAGCCGGCCATGGGCTGCCAGCGAATGGAGATCACACGCTGTGGTTCAGACCTTAGGGCTGCAGGGCTCGTTACCGCGCAGCGGCCGCAGAGTGACTGCGCGTGTGAGGCACCTGCTCAACCTTGTCTTTGTTCTTCCATATAGACATTGCGCAGTCTACCCCCGGCGAGTCAGCATCTTAGCATTGAGGCACGAGGATCAAGCAGTTGCCATGCTCTGTGCGCCTGCTATGCATAGCACGTAGCAACGTAGAACTCAGGCACCTGCACGTTGTGGGCTCGCACGAGGGTCTCGGCGCGTGGAATCCCGACAAGGCTTTCGTCTCGCTTTAGCTGAGACGGAGGTGCTCCGCACACTTGTGTCAGGGAGCCCGTCTGACAACCAACGAGCGAACATATCCTGTGTGGCGATCTCGACAGGCCGATCGCTTCTGCGACTGTAGTGCCATACTAATGTGTCTTCAAAGCATGGTCAGATCGAGTTGAGATGCGCACCGGAAGATTCTTCCACGGTGCTGGTGCTCAAGCTCGGGGCCCAGTTTCGACTCGATGACTTGGTGACTCGGGCATCGACCGAGGTACAAATATGTGCTTGATCGCCGCGAGCTCAAACAGGCCGACCCTTGCCCCGGGCAGCTCGTTTTGCAAAGCACCAAACTTGGTTCTGGCAGGGCTTCCAGTGGGAAGAAAACATCCCCGATCGCGAGGTCGTAGCCATTTTCTGCTACCTCCGAACTCGATCATTGATTGGTTTGCTCTGGCTCAGGTGCAGATACCGTGGTCGCAGGATTGTGACTGTGCTGCTGCCTCCTCAGTGCTTGCTGTGATCTCCTAAAGATCTCGTAAAGCGTCGAGTCGGCCAAGGTATGGTTGATCAGAGACTCGGCCTTCAATCGGGAAGGTGCCACCAAAGTCACGAAGCTGGCTCCAGGAGCAGCCGGGCCCCCGGGCGCCTCAGCTACGCTATGTGCGGCCTGTGCCTCCTCTGCCCAGAAGCTCCTGCGCTCTCCACAGCAAGAGACGAGTGAAGGACTGATCTCTGTGCCGGCGCCTTGAGATTCCTGCAATCTGACGCTTCAGAAGTACAGCTCTATCAATGCAGGCCGGAAGAGACTCCAGAGGCAGAAGAGCCAACGGAGACACCACTCTTCGATGCTAAGCCAGCCCCAGCAAACTTGCATTGCAACATATTGCAACGCATTTCCTGCAATCTGTCATAGCCCTGCATGCAGAAGAAGGTATGCCTTAGTTGGACGCCGCCCATTTGCAAAAGGTGGCTTCAGTTCAGCACGAAGCTAAGTTCGGCTAAATGCAAGAAGGCCGAATTTGAACTCTAATTGTTGTCAGGTGTGGAGATGTCGTCGCCAAGGCCAAGCTAGGCTTCATGTCATAAATTGACGTCGTAAGTCTCCCAGTGCTCTGGCACAGGCTCAGCTGGAGTTGGAACGGAGGAGTTCGCGGCGAAGCGCATCGATTTGGCAGGGCACAGCTGACAGGTTTGTATGAGATTACTTATGCTGCTACATGGAGCATCTGCCGTGTTCAGCAAGAAACATAACTTTGCTCCGGCTCAAGAAGGCGATGTAGGTGGACACGAGCACAGGCTGGTCCATGCCTGGAACTTGCATCTGCAGATGGACTGCTTTATGTGGAGAGTGCTGTCCGCATGTTGTTGCGCTGGCTCGCCACCGCAGCCCTTCTTAGGCCAACCAGTCCCTTCGCACCAATCTAAGGTTGATTATTAGGACACGGTGACTTTCGAGGGGCTGCTTTGGAAGAACTGCTGGTCTGCTCGACAATTCTGCCTTCACACAGTTTGCGGGGGAAACGCGGAAGACGCGTGTCAAGTCGTGTCGAAAGACTGGTACTCGAATATAGTGGTTGTGGAATTGAACTTGTGTGTGGACGGGGAAGCCATGATGATATGATGTCTCTTCGAGGCATTGGCTCCCTGAAGAGCTGGTCAACTTGTGGCGAGGGTCTCGGGAGCGCAGGGCAGGCGAGCCTCGGTGAAATTAGGGTTAGGGTGCCGGGTGCCGGAAGTGGGGACGGTTTGGGTCTGGACGGAGTGGAGAAGCTAAGGAGTTGTGCCTTGCAGTGCTCAGGCAATGAGCCTGTGCTGGATAGATTTCTCAGGCCCTGGGCACATCAGGACGGGCATCTCTACCCGGGGTGCTCCTTTGCACATCTTGCATTGTGGCCACATGGATGCAGCTTCGGTCAGGAGTACTTGCTTCCTCTTCATGCTTTGGACCAGTATTGTGATCCTGCAACGGTCAGAACGCTTTCAGCAGCTGTTGCGGCTGCTTGGACTACACGAGCATCGCCAGCGCACTAGCCCGTCGAGCTTCATGTGAATTGCGCGAAGCGCTTCTGCTTCAGGTGACGAACAGCTCCATCTTCTGGAAGATCCTTGATGTTGTCCTTGCATTGAGTCAAAGCAAAGACACTAAATCACTAAGCCAAGTGCCAGCCGCACGGTTTAGGGTTTTAGGGCTTAGGGTCTGCCAGCCGTCGCCATCCTAAGAAGCACAGTGCCTGCCACTGGGCATGCTCAGGAAATGCCATGCAGATGGGGAGGACTGAGGGGGTACCGAGGCCGTCTTGCAATGTGCCTCAGCAGTTGAGGTTGCAGCCGGGCACTGGGCTGCTTCAGCGGTGAAGTGAAGTGTGGTGGAGTGCTGAGCGCTGCAGGACACTGGCTGCATGGACCCTATAGCGAACGAAGACACCCGACTCTGGCTTCGAGTCTTGCTTGAAGTGCTGCAGGCTTGTATCAGGTGGGTGCTGGTCGCACCCCAGTGGTTTCTTGCTTGTCAGGTGGTCAGGATCGATGGAGCGCTTTTCATCGTGCAGTGTGGAGATGACCCGAACGTCCCCAGCGATCAGGACGAGTGCAGAGCACACCAATCTGGCAATCTGGGGTTCAACTGCATTCCTGAGAGGAGCCTTTCCCAGTGTTCCACTCAGAGGGTGGCGCAGGAGTTTGGAACGTACCATGGCTCAACCCATACCACCTCAAGGCTTGGGTTGGCTTTCTGTATAATCTGCAGCAGTCCGCATGTCAAAATGTGCGTACAGACCTGAAGGCTTTGTTCCAGGGTGAACTTGATGATCGAACTGCTCCTGCACGTGTTCCATGGGCACAGAAGAAGCCGGTGGTCTACTGGCGTGGTGCCCTGACGGCGCCCGATAACATCCCCGTGTCGGAGGCAGGCGCCACGACAGAGCGTGAGGCTGAGATGGGCCGAGCAGCCAACCACACTCCTAGCATGCTCAGCTCGTAGGCGCAGCATCTCCCGCGTTTTCGAGTCTTTCAAGTAGCGCAGCTGCGCAAAGAGCTGTGCCTTGCTTGGCATTTTTGAGACGACAAAGCAACAAGTTTAGGGTTTAGGGACCCTGCACCTTGTCAGCTGCAAGGTTCGATGTGGGAGTCAGCAGTATTGATGATGAGCTGATTGCCGTCTGGGGCAAGAAGGCACGGAGTGGGGAAGAGTGGCAGATGCTGGGGGCAAGGAGCAAGGGAGGCAGGGTCTGTTCGCGAGGCTGTTCAAAAGCTCCTGAAGCAGAACAGAGTGCGACGCACCCCGCATGAGGCACCTGCACCTTCGGGTGAGCTTTGGTTCGGTTCTGTTGGACTAGGAAGTTAAACGCAGAGCAGACGGTACTTGTGCTTTCCAACTCGCTCAGGAAGCACGCGAGAAAGTAGTCGTCAAGCACTTCTCTTCTTTTTTTTTTACCCCCCCCTCCCCGCGAACTACTACTACTTCTTCTTTTGTGCATTCTAGAGCAGCCAAAGTAGTAGTAGTGGTGGTCGTCCCCCTCACTTCCCTTCCCTTCGTCCTTCTTCTCCACCACCACTACCTCCTCTCTTTTCCCTCTGTTTCTTCTTACTGCACCAAAAAATCATGCATGTTTTTACAAGACAGGTAGGCGTTTCTAGACACCGCGCCCTTTTCTAACCCACCACCACTACTACTACTACTACTACTACTTTCCCTTCCCTCTCCCCTCTCTTTTCCCACCGTTTTTGCCCTCACCTTCCGCCTTTCCCGTCCACCCCAGCACCACCACTACTTTCCCTCCCCTCTCCCCTCCCTTTTCCCTCCTGTTATTCTCATTGCACCAAAGAATCATGCCATGTTTTACAAGACAGGCAAGCGTTTCTAGACACCGCGCCCCTCCCCTCCCCTCCTCCCCTCCCCTCCCCTCCCTCGCGACTAGTCCCTACAACAACAGGAACCCCGATACCACAACCAAAAGCCCTGTACCGCAACTGGGCCTGGATTTGGGCAAAACCCGAAACCACCATATCACAACCAGCTAACAAGCTTAGATTTTGCCATATTTTATATGGTTTCCAATCTGATGGTCAACCTTTAAGGAAACACATTCATTTTTGGAAAAGATGCAGTTGCAGTAGGTACCGTTCTTCGTCCAGATGCTACGATCTACTGAATATTCATAATGAACAACTAAGACCTAACGCTAAAGACGGGCCTCTATGCTATTGAAGGTTTGACTCCAAAACAGTAGAGTTGGTGGTGTTGGTGGTGTTGCTGGTGTTTGGTAGTGGTGCTGGTGTTTGTGGGGGTCGTCATCGGTCTCTGAGTCTTATCGGGAACACTGGGGGTAACCACACGAACCCCACACAGGTCCTACGTCAGAAAGGGTGCCCTGAAGCCCTGAAATCCGAAGGGTTTAGGAGCAGTGAGGAACAACAAGCCTAAAGGCATACGGGCAACCCAACCCCACGACCCCAAGACCTTGAACCTAGAGGTCTAAAAAACCCTTCGACCTGTACACCCTGCTAAACATTCGACAATGCTACACAAGGCTCCAACAGACCCCTTAACAACGGGATACTGTCCACACAAACCTATACTAACCAAAGAAGAACATTCCAGTTGTAGTAGGGACCATTTTTTTGTATATAGCTGCTGAGTTGTAGTAGGGTCCACTTTCTGGTTGCAGTATAGGGCTTCTGGTTGTGGTATCGGGGTTCCGGTTGTGGTAGGGGCTATTTCCCCCCTCCCTCCCCGCCCTTCCCTTGACGCTCGCCCCTTCCCCCCCAACCACTACTACTTTCCCTCCCCTCTCTCCCTCCCTTCCCTCCCTCCCTCCCCTCCCCTCCCTCCCCTCCCCTCCCCTCCCCTCCCCTTCCCTCTCCCCTCTCCCCTCTCCCCTCTCCCCTCCCCTCTCCCTCCCCTCCCCCCCTCCCCCTCCACCAGCATCGCCCCTCCCTTCTTTCCCGTCTCTTCCCCTCACCTTTTGCTTCCCGCTTATTCTGCATGCACTAAAAAATCCTGCTATGTTTTTACAAGACAGGTAGGCGTTTCTGGACACGCCCTTTAAATCTGCAGCTACGCCGGCCAGTCGTACCTTGCATGCTGTGCCACGTAGCGCATTCCCGGCTCCGACAAGTCTTCGAGACAGAACCACTCCTAGTACTACTAGTACTGGTAGTACTACTAGTACTACTAGTACTACTAGTACTACTAGTGCTGCTACTACTACTACTACTACTACTACTACTACTACTACTACTACTACTACAACTGCGACTACTACTACTACTACTACTACTACTACTACTACTACTGCTACTACAACTACTACTACTGCTGCTGCTGCTGCTACTACTACTACTACTACTACTACGACTACTACTACTACTACTACTGCTGCTACTGCTGCTGCTACTACTACTACCACCACTACTAGACTTCTAGTCTAGCACCAGTGCCGCCTGCGGCTGTTCCGGGCAATGCCGACTCTTGTGCCGACTAGTGGCGGGCCGACCTTCCCGCAGTGCGGAACCGCGCTCACAGAGCTCCGCGCCTCTCGACTTCAGGAAGCCTGGGAGGACGCTCCAGACCGTAGCCACCTCGACAGCAGCTTCGCCCTAGCAACATAGTTTGCAGGACTTCCCCGTGAAGTGGCAGCAGCTGGGCGAGCGTCGCTTCTAGCGCCTCTGCTTGCCTTGTCACCAGGTTGCTTGGCCGGAGGCCCGGAAGGGTTGCACTTGCCTGCTTCTGCTAGCTCGACGAGGTCTGTGAAATCGGACAAAGCCGGGTGACCCCCAATGAATGACGGCGCTCGCGGCTAAGATGGAAAGCCAGGCTCAGGAGAGCCAGGAGGGCCTCTTGTTTGCCGTGGACTTGCATGCCACGAGCTGTGATTCCGACGGAAGGGATGGAGCGGAAACCGTGTGATTTGCATCAGACATGGCCAACGCATACGTTGCCATGCGAGATGCGCCGCAGGCAAAAAGGGGGCGTGGACTTTCGCAAGAAGACGGATCAGGGCAAGGTCAGGCAAGAGACAACGACACGATTGGGGAGAACTATCGGAAGATCGGTGCCGGCATCTATAGCACATTGGCCCGAGATGTCCGTCCCTTGGTTTTCGTGGTGCAAAAAGGCGCGTGCTGAGTCTGGCGGCGTAAGAGTAACCATCTTCCTTTTCCATAGGCCCTTGCCA